TCTTCATCGCTCCATGTAGCCACATGAGCCTTGTGCTTATTCTTTGATTGACCCTTTTTCTTCAATTGTGGGCAATCATATTTGACATGCCCCGGCTTTTTGCATTCATAGCAAATTATTGGGTCCTTCTCTTTTGGTTCATTTTTGAGGCCTTCATTTCGTTTGAATTTCTTCCTTGGTAAGGTCTCATCATTTTTCTGAACCGTTTGGCAAACAATGCCATTTCCTCGTCATCATCATCATTAGAATCACTCTCATCTTTTGTGGATTTGAGAGCAACTCCAATGTTTTTCTTCTTCTCCTTCTCCTTTGGTGTCTCTTCAACTTTATCAAGGTCCACCTCATCTTCAAGCATCATCTCATGAGTGAGGAGTGAACCGATAAGTTCTTCAAGAGTTAAGGACGATAGGTCCTTAGACTCGATGATTGCCGTCTTCTTTGATTGCCATGATTTTGGGAGGGAGTAGACTAACTTCCTCACAAGCTTTTCATTTGAGATGATCTCTCCATATGATTTGAGACCATTGACAATCGTTGAAAATCTATCCGTCATAGCTTTGATGTCTTCATTTGGTTTCATCCTGAAATTTCATAGCTATGCGTTAGAATACTAATTTTTGATTTCTTTACCTCATCTGTACCTTCATGTGTGACTTGAAGTTTGTCCCATATTTCTTTGGCGGTTGTACACGATGAAACTCTTCCGTATTCATCTGGTCCAAGAGCACAAAAAATAATATGGATGGCTTTGGAGTTGAGCTGGAACATTCTCGTCTCTCCTTCACTCCACAACCTTGGATGAGTGAGAGGTTTGATGTATCCTTCTTCTACAGCATTCCATGCTCCCATGTCACTTGCTTGAATGAAGTACATCATTCTATTCTTCCAATAGGCATAGTTAGCTCCATTGAAGAAAGGAGGCTTGTTGACGGGCATCGAATCGAGACCGGAGTCGAAGTTTGAAGTGGAGGCCATTGATGACTTTGTAATCGATGTAACTCTTCCCGGATCGACTCAAGAGGCGATTAAACCTTCAAATGAGTTAGGCTCTGATGCCAATTGTTGAGTTAATCGAATGACGAAATTGGCCAAGAGGGGGGTGAATTGGCAATAAAAATTTTGTGGAAGCTTTTGCAGAAAATTGAAAGTAATTGCACAGCGATTTACAGTGGTTCGACTTTCTCAAACAAAGTCTACGTCCACTACCTTAGCTATCCACACTAAGGATTTTCCAACAAATTCACTAATTTGTTCTTTCTTTTGAGGCCAAAGAGATAACCTTACAATTCCCTCAAGAGTATACCCCAACTCTTGAGAACACTCTTTTCTCAAAGAGAAGATTACAAATTTGCAAACTTACAAGAAAACCTCACAAGGTAAGATGTTTGCACAATTCTAGAACAAAGAAAAGAACACTCAAAGATGAATACAACTGAGCACAAAAAGTGTTCTTGAAAGCAAAATGAATATTGAATGAAAATGGGCTTGAAATGCTCAAACTTGAGGTTTGATGCTTTCTCTTTGATTCTCTCTTGATTCTAGTTGCTTGATGTTTCTTGTTGTTGATCAATGGCTTCTAAGCTTGCTTAAATACACCTTGGATCACTTCTGAACGTTGGGGATAATTAGAGAAGATATTATAGCCGTTTTAGTGTGAAAACATTTAATAAAACAGCTTGGAGTGTGGGGGGAATCGGTTCCCTCTCATAGGGAATCAGTTCCCTAAGTGTAAAATTCAAATATTTCGACCGTTGAACAGGGGGGAATCGGTACCCCCTTGGGGGGAATCGGTTCCCTCCGAGCATTCTGGAAATCTCGGAGCCAAACCATTCAGGGGGGAATCGGTTCCTCCTATGGGGGAATCGGTTCCCTCTGAGCAATCTGGAATTTTGGCTTTGAATTGGTTCGAAATACTTTGTAAGATTATTTTGAAATTGTTTTATGATTAAAACTTAATTTTACACTTAAGTAAGGATCAAAAATGATTTTTGAAATATTTGGAGTAATGTTTTGATATTCGAATAGTTATATCGAATATACTTAGAAAATCGTTTGGAAAATCTTAAAATTACTTTAACTTAATTTGAAAATCTTAAAATCCATTTAACTTAATTTGTTATATCGAAATATTAAAATGTTTCAACAATATTGATTTACTAACCGCAACACCAATGGCGATAAACAGCAACTCAAAGCGTCCATCTCTATCTGTTTTGATATGAGTTACCGACCCAAGATTTTTCAGCTTTAAATTGTGACAATAAGCCGACAGTTGGGCAAACGATGCTTCTGGCGACCCCCTCAATAATTCCAAGGTATAACATTTGACTCTCCAAGCTTGAGAATATGAGATACTAATCTTGAACCGAGCATTCATGTCAGTCATAATTTCATGTCCCCGATATACCTTACCATTCAAAAACATTAACTCAGCCAGAAACCACCCAACACCTTTTTGTTTGCCTGTCTATGGTGAGGAAAAACTTGGGTTCTTGAACATGTATGTTTATCAATAAAAGTCCTAACTTGAAACATTTCGCAATCTTTTATCCTCTTTGCAATCATACGCCACATACAGTTTTTGTCAATCATACACCTTGTTTCGAAACGATATTTGCTTGATTTGTTAACTTTTAGTTGATAGCCATCTTCCACACATTTCGTATACAAAGCTATCTTCAAGTCTTCTTTTGTATCAAAACAATCATCTTTCTTGATACGAATAATTTTTGTGTAACAATCAACTGCTATCTTTACCAACTCTTCTTCCGGTATCTGAAGTAATTCTGGCATATTCCAATTATACTCCCGTGGCATTTTCTTTGGGGACTTTTCTTTGGGGATTTCTTCTTCTTCTTTTTCTTATTCAGTGTTATATGAATTACAAAATGGATGTTCAACATGTTCATTTACAGTCGTAACTTCCTCCTCATTATCATCAACAACATCTTCCTCGGCAATGGCTGTTTCATCATCAAAATTCGAGTATTGACCAATATCAAAATCATTACACGCAGGGTCATTTTCTTCTTCTGAAAAATCATCAAAATCTGAGTATTGACCAAGATCAAAGTCCGGGTATTGACCAAGATCAAATTTCGAATACTGACTAGTACTCACAATTTTTTTTGTTGGCTCATCATCGTCTAACTGGTCAATACGAAAACCGGAATTTGGTGCTGAAAGTTGATTGGGATTTGGATTAGGGAAAGGTTGTGGGTTTTGAGATTGTGTTTGGTATTGGAAATGTGGTGAAACAATATTTGCTTGGTGATGAAATTGTGGTGGAACCATTAAATTTTGAGCACCATAAACTGGGGTTGAAAAACTTAGTTGATTACTACCCGCTACTGACCCAACTTCACTACTTTTAGGTTCAACAACATACAATGTAACATCATCACTTGAAACACTAATGTAAGCAATGAATCGTTCAACATCTTCATTGTCGGTTAACAAATAAACTTTACCATTTCTCTGATAAGATAGCCTAAATCCACTTAGGGGATCTAAATTCAATTTATTTGCAACACGTAACATTAGAGTTTCATAAGTTAACTTTTTTAATGACAGTTTTAGTTGAAATTCATGGGTAAAGGCATATATTGTAAAACACCATGAACATTCTCCCATGACCCTCCAAAACATAAATCTATCCAAACATGATCAACATTAGATGATTTCATTATTGTAAATTAATTGACTAAACAAACGAGCTGCGAAACTAAAACCTGTTGCCGGATGGGGAAGGATGTCGTTGGATATAGGAACGAATGTCACTAGAGAGAGTGATAGATGGAGATGTAATGAGTTGCGATTTAGGTTATGAGTTGCTGCTGCTGCGTAGTTATATACCCAAAACATTTGTGTTGCGAAATTAAAACATGTTGCGAATTCAGAAATCGAGTTGCGAATTTGAAATTCAGTATTGCGATAGTCAGAATCTCGTTGCGATTTACGTAATCGCATTGCGATTTACATATTCGCATTGCGATTTAGGAAAATCGCAACGCAAATTTGGGAAATCGCAATGCGATAGTCAGAATCGCGTTGCGAATCTGGAAACTGATTTGCGATATCGGAGATCGCGTTGCGAATTATCGATCGCATTGCGATTTAGTTGGTCATTTTGGTAAATCCAAAAAAAATTGGTTAAAATCGTATATTATAAGGCATTTTTGGTCACTGAGTTTATTTTCTCATATTTAAAACATATGAATATAATTATAAATGTATATATATGTTTATAGTATAGATAATTTGAGTTTAATGAAAATTTCAATAAAATTTAAAAATATATTTTTATATGTTAAATTCAGACTATACTAATAAAATATTAGATAAAGTATACAAACGGTCTTCCGATTATAGGATGTTGTTTTATTCAGTCCTCTAATTATCAAAAGTTACAAAACAGTCTCCCGATTATAAGATGTTATTTTGTTGAGTCTATTGACTATTAAAAGTTACAAAATGATCACCTGACTATTCCTTATGTTCCAAATTTATTTTTTTTGGTTAAAAAAATTGACGACAGCCTGAGCTGAATGTTAATCTGTTGTCTGAGATATGATAAAACATGATCCCAGAATCTTAAACGACTATCATATCTCAAACAACAAATTGTCATCCAACTCAGATCGATGTTATTTTTTTAACAGAAAATAATAAGTTTGTAAAATAATGAATAGTCAGATTATAATTTTGTAACTTTTAATAGTTAGGAGACTCAACAAAATAATATCCTATAATTGGATGATCATTTTGTAACTTTTGAGAGTTAGGGACTCAACAAAACAATATTCTATCATTGGAGGGCTATTTGTATGCTTTACCCTAAAATATTATTAATTAAATAAAGGGTGAGAATGGGATATTTTATATAGTTTTCCCAAAGCCGTCTTGTAATAGTGAATTATAAGTCATAGATATATGTCAACATATTCGTATGCTTATTCTTTCCATTCATTTGCATGACTTGTACTAAACGAAACGAGATAGAAAGCATAAAAAAAACCAACTACATTCAAAGTGTTCTAAGTTAACCGATAAGGGAAATACATCTCAGTTTAACCAACAAAATGCCACACCATGTTAAGCCCTGCTCCTGCCTATTACTCACCTCATCATCACCAAATCAAAAGAATTAAGACCATAATTGTTGGATTTTTTTTCATATTCTTACAAACAGAAAGTAAAAAAGGTCAGTCTCCGCAGCTCCTTGACGTTACTGTTACTGCATATGCTTGCTTTCAGATAGTCGGTCAGCACTTGGAATGGTGATGAAGGATCAGGGCAATGACAGAAGTAGTGAAAGAAATCACCCCCCCCCCCTAAGAGTCCAAATAAGCCACTGATTTGTAAAAAAGAACACACCTTTAGCAAGGGAACGAAGACAACGCATGCACACAGATCAGTGAACGACAGCCTTGTATAAGCATGAATCTTCGAAAATCACAAAAATCATGTATTCATCATGTCTATGAGATGAACTATGGTGCCACACAAGAACAAGAAGCAAATCCGACCTATGGTACATATGATCAGTAAAGTTCTATCGCATTTGGTTCCCAGGTTAATGCATGGAAAATAAAATGCAAGCAATAAAATCAACACTCATTGCTCAGCAACTTCAACAGACCATGCAATGATAGGCGTAATATATGAATATAATGACAGGGAAGAATATATGGATATAACTAGCAAGTTTTCAAGAACATAAGGCAAATGTAGCACAAAGCTATCAAGTATTCTATCACCCATTTACCCCTAAGGCAGCTTACCAAGCGGAGCATAGGGTAGCAGAGTTCTTAACTAAGCAGTGTTGACTCGGACTAGGAAATATAATGTTCAGATTAGACACAATGTTGACTGTAACCTGGAATCGGTGTGTTAACCGAATAAGATTGTCAAGTGAAACATCAAATGACGATCATTAGTGTAGTTACCAGTATAACACAAGTCAGTCTAATTCTCAAAGCTAATATAAAAGACCCAGTTTTTTTGGGTGAATCTTAACACAATGCTACGTAACTTTTAAAACATCACCAAAAGTGCCATGGAAGATGGAGATATACAAAAGAAATTTGTTCGAATAGAGTGTTGGTAGTGGCATCATAAAAAGACAAATAGAGAAGAACAGTTCAGACAGCCAACTAAAACTATTTAACCTTATATAGCTGTAAAACCAAGAAGAGTAGTTGCCTACTTACAGTGTCCTACATCTACACTAGGTGTTTTTGCAAGTTTTCTTGTTGTGGCCAAGGCCCTTGCATTTGCTACATTGGAGCTGCCGTTTAAGAAGGTCTATTGATTCCTGCTTCTTTGGTCGACCTGGTGGGCGTTCAGTTGGAGGAGTTACAGTAACAGCTACCTCAAGTGATTCATCCTCGATTGGTCCTTCCACATTTGGAACAGGATGAATGGATTCGGAATATGTTAAGCGGAAACTCTCGGTTGTGAAGTATCTAGAACAATAGTCATAAGGACTTCTACCAACGCATTCAAAGACAGCAATAGCATGACAACAAGGCAAACCGGTAAGTTGCCAGCCCTTGCAGCTGCAGTCCCAATGATCTATATTAACAACCTCAACAGATGTCCCCTCAACACATTCCCCACGAACTTCAAATATGCTACCATGTGTGAGTAACACTTGAAGCGACCGCGCCATCGCTGTTTCCTTCTGCAACTTTTCCTCGTTACTTGGAGTTAAGGTTGTCATCCACTGACTGGAATCCACACGACGTTTGTAGATCGACTCCATCATCTTACCCCGTAATAGATTAATCATGTGTGTTATAGGAAACTCATGTGCTTCTGATACCCAACTAAAAAACTCCTGTCCAAAGCTTGAGACCATGTGGTTATACCTTGCTCCTGCAAAAAAAGCATTTGCCCAGTGCTCTGGTTCACTTTGGATGACCCATTCGTAAACTTCAGGAGAAATGGCTTTCAAATTTTCAGCAGCTTGCTGGAAACCTTCAAGTCGTGGTGCACGGGCAGCAGCATAAAAGTCATTGATCATAAACCGTCTGGCGTCATGAGAAAACTGCCCCTTTAAATCTCTGATGAGTTTGTCGGCAAGATGCTTTAAACAATAGCTGTGGTAGCATTTATCAAATACATCAGCCAGTGCCCGCTTTAAACCATTCTGAATATCTGCAACAAATGTTAACTGGCTTGAAGTAGAAACTGCAGATTTGAGTTCCCCTAGAAACCAAGTCCAATTGTCTTCATTCTCAGCATCAACTACAGCAAAAGCTACAGGAAAAATACCATCCTCTGCATCAGCGGCGGTTGCAGCCAACAACGTCCCTCCGTATTTTGAATTTAAAATAGTACTGTCAAGAAAAATTAGGGGTCGACAGCCTTGTAAAAAACCAGATATCGAGGCATGAAACGAGACAAAGAGTCGATGGAAGCTCAAGTCATCCTTTGTAATAAAGGAGACAATACTGCCCGGGTTAGTCTCTTTTATCTTCTCACAGAAATAAGGTAAGAGATTATATGCCTCTTTAATGGATCCTTGAAGTTGTTCCTTGGCAATCTCTATTGCTCGCCATGTCTGAGCATAATTCAGTTGGATTCCATATTCTCTTTTGATGTCATTGGCAATGTCTTTTGGCTTGCAGTTGGAAGAAGCTTTCAATTTCTCCTTTATGATACTTCCCACCCAGCCCCTTGTTGCCCGGTGCCCAGCTTTTACAGCTGCTCCTTCACATGTGTGCGTCGTGTTCATTTTCTTGATACAAATCAACTGGGTAGTGGACAGTTGTGACGCAAATATCCTCCAGGGGCAGCCTTGAGCTTTGCATTTAACAGTAGCACGATGGTGGTTGTTTTTCTTAAACCTATAAGCAAAACCATGTGCAACTGAGTATTTATGCACAGCTTCTCGGAATTCATTAAAACTATTAAATCTTTGGTCAACACCAGTTATCGTATTCTCCCAAACTTCAGCAGCTTTAAGATGCTTCCCATCATTCATATCAAGGGGCATACAGTCCAAAGGAGTTTCATTCGGCATGACCAAGTCAAGTTGGTCGATGCCATTGATCATCCCAACATCAGCATTGGCAGGCGCAACAATAGGAACCCCAACTTCTGAAATAGTCATCCCGCTCGACCTGCACCTTTAAGAATACATAACCACGACAGGTAGGGCAAACTTAGATGGTAAATTCAAAATTCAAAAACACGACGAGTAACTACCTACTAGCAGGCATGTTGGAAACATTCCGAGCAGCCGCTTCCTCTGGCACAATGAAGACATCAACGGTCGAAGTTTCGCTGATGAAGTTAAGCATGCGATGCAAATCCTTTTCTTTGGAGATGGTTATGAGGGTCTTCTTGTTCCCAGGGAGGAAGTACTTGATAGACATGTTACCAGACCTCAAGTTAAACATGTCTTTTATCTCAGACTTGATATCACTTAACTTGGATTGCTCATTGATATCTATAGCATAGGCCTCGCCGCCATTGTAGGACAAAGAACCGTCTTTATTGGTGACAAAATCGCCACCAGACTGACATATTGCTATAATTTTCTTCCCAGCCATGGCCTAACCAGGAGAAAACCAAATAAACCACGACAAAAACTACATTAAGTAAACATGAAATATAAAAGAAAAAGATGGTAATTTTATTTTTCCCAACACACAAAATTAAAAAAGAAATCAAATACTAAAGCAGTAACCTGTGGAAACTAAACAACTTGCAAAAACCCAGAATCGAAAACAAAGAAGAAAGCCAAAAAGAAGGGGGGAAAGCATATATGAATAGGGCAGAAACCCTAAAATCTACGGAGTTTGAATTGAAAAAAGAGAGAAAAGAAGATACCTTAAATGGAGAAACGTCAGCAAGGTGGGATTTTTACTTTTGGTTCTGTTATTGGGAGGTTAAATCCTTGAAATTTGAAGAGACGCCCAGAGACCCAAAGCCTAGACCCGAATCCCAAATACCCTCAAAAACTCGAACGATGAAGGAATTCAATACAAACCGCAGCGTATGCTAATGGCCTAATGCTATACTCACTTCCAATTGCAACCCTTCTGGTTTGTTCGACCCTCTTTATTTTATTTTATTTTATTTATAGATGTGTTGACTGCCCTCTGGTTTGGTTTGGTGTCTGATTTCTTTAAGATGATTTAGATGGACTATGACAAGAGTTGTCCATTAGGTAGGTGGAGTTAGTTTTTGTTTTGTGTTGTGTTGATTTTAGATTATTGTAATATGAATTATAATTTTTTTTTAATTTTTTTATAAATTCATAATTTTTTGTTCAAATTATTTTCGAGTCAGATCATTTTTGGATTTGAGTCAAAGATATTTGAAGTATATAATTTTGATGGTCAAATAAAGGTTAATTTTAAATTATTCGAGTTAAATTTTTTAATTTAATTATGATTCTGGTCAGATTCAATTTTTTATAAAACATGTCTGGTCTGACCCAAGAACAATAGTATAATTAACTTTTATATATTTAGAGATAAAATTATTTATATTTTCATCAATTGGATCCGTATTTTGTCCAATAAAAAAAATATAAATATATTTGTATCAAGTGAGAGTGTAAACTTTTATCTTAAAACCCAAACCAAATTTTGAGCAAGTTGAAACTTTTCTAAATTCGAATAAGTCAAGTGAGGAATGAAAGGTACTATACTCAAATTGAATTTAGATATATAAAATAGCCAAATTAACCTGACTAAGGAGGGCAGATGGATATAATTTCGTGGATATCGCATCGCACCCACTCCAATTGGGGCGGAGATGGGTATAAGTTTAGTGGATAGTGGACGGTTGTGGATGTAAAAAGTCATACACGTTGTGATTAGTGGAACCTTACTCGCCTCGCAACCACCCGTCCCACATCCGTTCGTCTACTAACTATTTACCATATAAATTTTAGACCATTATGAATTTAGATATAATTTTACAAACCATTATGTAAATCTTAAGATTTTATAGGACATGACTTGTAATTTAATCAAATATTAGAGTATAATATTTTTAGAATTGAAGATCGTCGCTTATATAATTTGTGAGGATATTGACAGACGGATATGGACGGGTACAAGTGGGTACGAGATGGGTGGTGGATAACCAGTTGGGTAGTGAGTGTGTGGTGGATTTAAAGATATACCCACATGAACGGATGTGTATTTAAAAATTTTACCTCTCGTGGATGGTAAATAAATGATGGATACAAAAATATTAGATACATAAAAGCATAAGGAAAGAGGTATCCGCATCCACCTCACCTCACCCATTTGTCATCCCTAGATTTAGAACTAACCCATGACCATCTCAGATGTTTATTTAACAAAAGGTAAGATTATTTATATTGATAATAGTATCATATTTAAATTACTTTTGTTAAATCTAAACAATGTGATCCTTAGTAATAGTTCATATTTTATTTCTCTAAATTACTAATAGAACATCTTGCAGTTGATGCTGACTATTACGAGGCAAGGCTCTAAGCTACGAAAGGAGGCTTTATTATCTACCGACATCCTGATAAGCGTGATTAATCTTAAATTCCCATACAAAGCAAGTGTAAAGCATTCGAGAAACAGCAAATCATCCGGGGAAAGAAGCTTGTGGTGATTCATAAGATATACAATTGGCGATTTCCTAAATCTAAACGAAAAGTAGGATTCAAGGTAAATTAAGGTTCAGATCTTAACAAAAATGCACATTATCCTACAGTTAAGAGATATCGAATTACACATTCCGATCAACTTTAGCTTCCTAGCTCAACCACCTACTTTGACGATGATGAAAGATAATATCTATGGATGTTCAAGTATCGATATGTTACTAGAAAAAAAGGGAGATCAAATTTAGTACATTACCAGAGTATGTTAAATGTAGGTAGGTCTTCTAAGAGGAGATTCTGAAGATGGGGATGCACTGCTCATCCGAAACATGTGACGAGAATGAACGTTAAGGTTTGAAACATCATCAGCATCAGCTCCTTCATTCTCTCGAGCAACATTAGCATCCGAGCCCATCCGGGGATACAATCTTCGTCATCGACCCAGAGTCAGTTGTGGTTTCCACTTGAAGTGAAACAGCTGGACGATTCGCTGTACCTTGTGTGTTATTTCTTCTCTTCAACTCCTCCTCCGCGTTCAAGATCTATCAAATACTACAAATTAAGTTCAGGAATGTGATTCTCATTAGCACGTCTCCTATACGAAGAGGCATTAGAATTGATGCTTGCCTGCTTCAGTACTTGCACTAAACCATGCTTCTTCGCATTAAAAACTTGTAATTTCTCCTCAACATCCCTTTTCCTTTGTTCTTTCCCATTTAAATAATTCATTTTTTCGACAGTCTAACAATCCATAAACAAATCAACAACATTTCAGCAAACAAGAACAATTAATTTAGCACTTTCAAATAAACTAATACGCAAGCTCAGAATTTATGCTCAAGAATCGAGCTGACAAAAATACCTCTGCGTTTGTTTTAGTCTCAGGCGGCCTCTCTTTCTCATCCACTAGCAAACTGGCATCTTTCGCGGTCTTCTCATCCATCGGCTTCACCAAACAATCTCCATCGTCGGATCCTGCAACTACCTCCACCTTGACCTTCGTTAGAGGCGGTCCAGTTTTCAAACCCTCACACGGGTCAGACTCAACTTTGGCCTTCAAATTGAGGTCAACAGGAGGAGCAGTGGGCACGGAAGATTGAATTTGATGGTTTGGGTTAGAAGAGGAAGAAGGGGAACGGAGGAGACACAGATCTTTGTTGCGGCGGTGCAAGAGGGATTTGAAGTCTTTGAGTGAGATTTTGGGAGTCGGCATTAGCCATCGCCGAGTAACGTCCGGTGCACGGTGGAGGTTCCCTCTGTACAAAGAAATCGCCACCATTTTTTAGTTTTTTTTTCTTCTAAGGTTTCTCCGTTAATTTTCGCACTGTCTTGATTTCCGTGGCGAAAACAAAAAGAAAAATTTACGGTATTGGTTTTTGCCCCGAATTCTCGTAGCAGTGTAAATGAATCAAATTTTGTCGGTATGTTCACGTTCGTTTATTTATTTTATAAAATATTTATCTTCGGTTTGAGTTCGTTTAAATTTTTAGTATCATAATTTTATTCGTTTATTTATTTTTAAAGATGTTTGTGATTATTTATTTATTATTGACGAACATATTCATTTAATATTTATAAATATACTCATTTATATATTCATTAACGTGTTCGTATAGTCTTCTCGAATATGTTTATTTAGTATTGACATTTGTTTATATGTTGAATCTTTAGTTTTATCTTTTCAAACTAAAGAAAAATGATAAAATTATGTCACTAGTACTTAAACTCTTTAAATTAATAGTTTAAATTTCACCTTTTATCATGTGTTCAATTTAGTCACTATCTTCACTAACATTTAAAATAGAAAAAAAAAAAGAGAGAAAAACCGGATAAACAAGTTTGTTCATGCACGTAAATAAACTAGTCGATAAACGAGCTCATAATTGGGCTTATAAACGAGCATGTTCATGAACATAAACGAATCGAATATACCTCTGTTCGTGTTCGTTCGTTTATTAAATGAACATAAAAAAATTATTCTTACTCCTTTATTTAGCTAAACAAATGAACGTTATACGAATAGTTCACGATCTATTCTCCGATATATCATTTACACCCCTAATTCTCGGTTATAACTGTGACTAAAAGTAATTAAAGATTAGGGTAAACTACATGTCTAGTACCTAAACTATATTTTTAATATGTTTAATATATAAACTTTCATTTTTTTTAAAAAATTATATGTAACGTTTAGTTTTTGTTTCATTTAGTCCTGTCATTAAAAAAATAACGTGTTTAGTATTTAAACTATCAATTTTGGTCCGTTTTAGTATCTAAACTTTCAATTTGTTTCAAAACTTATCGCTAAGTTGTTAAATTAATACTAATACGATACACAAACTAATCATTAAGTATGGTTTTGAAAAAATTGAAAGTTTAGGTATTAAAACGGAACAAAATTAATAGCTTAGGTAATAAACACATAGTTTACCTAAGATAATATTTTACATAAATATTTGGGTAAATTACACATTTAGTACCTAAACTATCAATTTTGATCTATTTTAATACCTAAACTTTCAATTTTTTCAAACCCTTACTTAACATTTATTTTTTTATTTTAGTACCCACCGTCAAAAACTTAAAGTGTTTAGTACCTAAACTATCAGTTTTGATCCGTTTTAGTACATAATCTTTCAATTTTTTTCAAAATTAACATTAAATTTTGAACATGATACTAAAATGAAACAAAAACTAAATTTAAGTATGGTTTTGAAAACTGAAAGTTTAGGTACTAAAACGGCTAAAACTAATAGTTTAGATACTAAACTCATAATTTACCATAAATATTTTTATTATAATATTTAAATAATAAATAACTAAAAGTTGCTCAACTAAAGATCTCTTGAATTCTTGGATTCAACCACTAGGTTCATTTTCAAATGATTAAGAACCTTTCAAACAGATACTATCTTGTATTCACCGAGACTAATAAAAAAATAAAACTTACATATAATATGATTTGAAAACAAAACTTTTACCACTCAACTAATGTTCATTTTTAGGAACCCTAGACATAGTAATAAGGATAAAGAGAAAAACAACATCAAAGTAACACTGAATAAGCCTGAAGAATCATGTCATGATTATAATATACAAAGACTGCTGCTCACAATCATGGTGATGAGGACAAAGAAAGAGTACAAAACTTCAATTTCAAGTTTCTGAAAAAGGAAAACCAAATCAATCATGCTTCTTTGCAAAAAGAGACTCATCACCATAGCCAAGGCAGGGCCCTGGTTCCTTCTTTTTCCCTTCAAAACTCTATGAATAAACATCTTTACCATATATCATATGGTAGTTTTGCCAGTTTTGTTCTTCACCATATTTGTTTCTGCAAAAACTTCAACTTGATGATGCATTGGTATTATTCAAGGGCCAGTTCATTTTACAGAAACCTTTGGTTTCGCACGTGGAGTGTTTGAAGATTACTTCCCATGTTTCTTCCCTGCAATGCATATAAATTATCAGTATAAACATTGTTAAACAAATGCTGCTGCTTCTGAACCCTCGTTTTTTTCTAAGTATTCATGGTATCGATACGTGAGTCAAGGGGTATAATCCTCCAAATTCTCTCCAAATGCATACCAATATTGAAAATTTTGAATACAGCTACACTCGATACTCACACCTGAGTCTAATCTTGTTCGACGACATTGATTTAAGCACATACACCTTTCATCATTAATCAAGTTTCTATCTTGATGGTTGCTTTAAATGGTGTCTTGAAGTCAACATAAAGTGGTTGAGAAGAAGTTATAAACACAAACACAACAGGCATCATAAAAGTAAATAGTTGTCTCACACTTTCTTCATTTAATGGACCTAAATCAATGGCATATTAATCTCAACCAATTCATAAAGGCAGCAATCAACAATGGCAACCATGTAACTTAAAGGCAGGCATTAAACTAAAGTGGATGGCAACAGAAATCATTTATGTTTAAGATGAACAGCGGTTGGTAGAAAAGTCGATTCGGTTTTTTCTGTGTTACCTCTTTGGAACCATGACTTTCGTATTGCTTGGCGAATCTGTCGTTCGTTTCGTTCCAACAGTTCATCGACTCTATGCGATTGAGACAGTAAGGGACCCGAGAATTCGATTTTCTCCCTTTCATCTTCGTAATCCTGTCAAGAACAACAATATAACATGATTTGATCAAAATGCATATTCTAAAGAAATTGATGTGATGATGTCTTCTGATTTGAGTTTAGGGGCATAGGTAAAAATGGGTTATTTTTCTTCATTTTCTTTCAGTTCTAACAAGAAAAATAAGGAGCTGTGCGTATGAAAGGTAGTTTCTTGTTAAATTTACAGAAAAATAGACGCCTCCATTCATTTAAAATAATATTTTCAAAATCTATGTTGCTCGGACTCTTCATTTTTCTATAAGTGAAGTGTATGACACATTCTGAACATGTGCATAGGATATGACCATCCAAAGACCCTTTAAGAACATTAACATACCCTTGTCGATGACATATTAATATCCGATACTCACACTCGAGTCCAAGTAACATAGTTCAAAATAGTCAATTCATGCCAGTTGCCTCACTTCAGTGATGTAATTGTTATCATTACAGGCCAAACCTACACTTCTGAAGCCTCCAATTTATTGAAGTTCATTGCAGTAATCCAACAATTTCTTATATTGATAATTTTCAGAGATACTTATTAAAGTTCATAACCAAATATTTGTCACCAAAAATTAACCCAGAAAGAAAACCAACCAATATAGGGCATCTTAATAAAGTTTCAATCTCTCTATAGTTTTATATAGAACCGAATCATTTGAATCGATATGATTACATGATTCTTCATGCAACATTGAAATAAAACTGAATAACCAATGCCATGCAATCCGCAAAAGAAGCTTAGAGTAGATGTCAAGAACAAAATTTCGATGTAATTTCGGGTTCTAATATCTACAGACATACCAAATTATTTCTCTTGGCTGCCATTTCTTCTCTTTGATAAAGTGCCAATGACAGCTCTTGTGAGTGGTATCCATCAGAAGCATCGAGTGAATCTGGATGCTCAAACTGGCTCCATTGTTTTTGCATAGCACGATTGGCAGCTTCATATGAATCATGGCCTTTAGAATCAGCATGGACTCCATATAGTACTTCCCAGTTCTCATTTCTTTTCGAATCGCAATTATTTCGTGCATGTAACTGAGCAGAAGGCTCTAAAGAATTATAAAGTTGACCTCTTGATATAGATCTGCAGTGTGATCTTATGGATGCATCCTCTTTTCGTCTTCTGGCCCACGCAAAGCCACTTGATGTAGAAACTTGTAACGGGCCGGAAAAAGGAATATCACCTTGGGATGCATGCTTTATATGAGCCGCTTCTTCGACTGCATAAGTAGATGGATTTGTCACTCCCTCACTGATGGTAGCATTTCTTTGCTTAGACTTGTGCACACGATCACTGTTAACCTTATGAGAACCTTGAGCTTGTGCAGGGGCATCCTGCATGTGAAAGTTGTACCGAAAATTGGTTTCCCGAGTAACCTCAAATACAAATATAGGGGCACGAGGAAAAGAGAGACAACAGACCTCAACTGGAGCTAATTTACTTATTCTATGGGGTTTTCTTATTGGCTTTCTTGTTTCAGGCCCACGAACTCTTCCACTTATCTTTTTCCTGAGAATTCATTGTCGACGATGTCAAACAGCATCAAGGGGTGGAATTTGCAGATGATAATTAGTGTCAAGTGTTATAACATGAATTAGTTTACTACATATTCTCTAAAACATCGGAATAAAATGATCATGTTCACAAACAATAGTCAAGCTGATGTGATACCTTGCAAAATATATCTAATGTTGATAGGGCATGTTGCTGAAGAGGGTAAAAAAAAGTGAAAATATTTACTGGAATGCAACAGTATTCGATACAGATGCACTTGACAAGGTTCCGGGTTCCAGAAAACTATCTAAATATTGTCTTCATTTAGACATTTTCGAATAAAGTACTCACCTCCTTGCCTCTTCACGAAGTTTTGCATCTATCTCTTTGCTAGGTGGATATACTGGCAAACTCGACGGATCACAAGCATAGGGCTTTGTTGTGAAATACTAAAAATTGTAAATTAAGAATCAGAATATTGCATATGATGGAAATTAAGCTAATTTGAAGTAAAAGATCTGCACATTCATGTGTATGAAACTGAATATTGCAATCGAAAGAAAATGCTAGCTGATATATTAAGAAAAACAATGATGAGACAATTTCATAACAAGTTACTTATAAGTTACTTCACAAGCAAAGTTTATTAAAGATTTTAGTCGGTGTTATTTCACATTAGTTAAGCTTGGGTAGTTCTCGCTTTATATTCAACTCGAGCCTCTCTACATATGGGTTGTTTCTGTTATGATGGATACTTAAAATGGTATTAAAGCTCAGCTTATTTGTTACTAGTTGCTCCCGGGTTTTAGATATTCTAAGTTTCGAACTTAAATTTGGCTTTTGTGGCAGCCTAAAATTCAAGTTACACAATGTCACATTAGATTCGTAATAATGGTGAATAATAACAAATTAAATTTGCAAATGAGGAACGATTATGTTGCCTTGCATAATTACCTCTGAAACAAGAGCTGAGGAAGCAGTGCCACGCTTGTATGGCTCCACTGAAAGCAAAGTTTCTATCAGTTTCACAGCAGTAGCCGGTAAATCTTTAAAAGTGTCCCGGAGACTGCTATCATAAGGTTGTTGTGGCTTGAAAATAGTTGCATGTGGTAGTCTGGCTTTTTTCCAGTAATCATCGGGTGGGGATCCACAGAGCTTGAAAATCTTATGCAATTGTTCAACCTGTACAAGAACATCAAACAACGAAGTGGTTGAGGTGAAGCAATAATATCAGATAAAGCACTCGTATAGAATTTTCAAATTAAACTTCAACGATCGGTACAGTAGCACAAGGAAAATAACCTCAAAAGAAATACTCGATAAACAGACACATAGGACCGGCATTTCCCCGAGCCCTCTTTCAGCAACAAAACTGATTCCTAGTAAACTTTCCTATATACGGTGAAACTTGTTCAGTTCTTGTGGTAGATCCTTTCCCATATCATGAGGAATCAATTACTCTACAGGCTTATCACAGTAATAGAATCATACAAGTCGTTTCCAATGAAATCGGTCTTTTGCTATCTTTTTAAATGATCCAAAAATATTCTTTGTCGAGACTCGAGATTAAAATTACTACGACAAGTCTAACGTAAATGGTATGCACTTTAGCAAGGTTCTTACCTCTGTTCTGCCTTGCAGGATAGGTTTCCCGAGGAGAAGTTCAGAGAATACACAGCCAACACTCCAAAGATCCACAGCTGCAGTATAATCCGTAGAACCCAACAAAAGTTCCGGGGGGCGGTACCATAAGGTTACAACACGACTCGTTAATGGTTGCCTGCGACTAGAACCATAGAAGTTCGCCAAACCAAAATCAGCCATCTTTAGAATTCCTTCATTATTTACAAGGAGATTTGATCCCTTAATGTCCCGGTGCATTATGCCCCTTGAATTGCAGTGGTCAAGTCCAGATAACAACTGCTTCATATAGCATTTAATCTGCAAAACAAAAAACAATTTTCTTTGTTAAAGACGTGCAATACTAGTTTTTTCTCACATTATAATGCATTCGAGTTTCAGGGGGAAATTTAGGTTTTCGTATTCCAAATGCGTAATGACTGCAAGTTGGGTTCCAAAAAATGTGTTTGATACACGTGCTATCATAGAACATTAGACTAACCTTAGCCACTGAGGCAAAGAGAACAAACCTGTGACTCGCTGAACTTGATGTCAGGACAAGACAGAAGTCCGGTGATGTCGTGTTCCATGTACTCGAATACAAGGTATACGCTACACGACATTCGGGAAGTAATTATCCCATCCAATTTAATGATGTTTGGATGGTCAAGCCTTCGAAGAATCAGTATCTCCCTAGCCATGAACCGCACACTCTCAGGCTCAAAATTGTCAAACCGCACCTTCTTTAGAGCAACTATCCTTCCGCTCTCGAGATCACGAGCTCGGAACACAGTGCTATACGTGCCCTGCCCTATCTGTTAAAGCAGTTGAAATAGTACAATATCATTACATCAAATATTTGGAACGGTGTGGCATATCAAAACAGAAATCACATGCCGAAAAAGCTCGGAAAAAAATGAAGAAAGCATGTTGCACACACACACATATATATCAAAACAGAAATCACATGCCGAAAAAGCTCGGAAAAAAATGAAGAAAGCATGTTGCACACACACACATATATATTTGACTAGCATATATTCAGACATGACTAATAAGGTACGATTCTGGGAATGTCTCATCTTGTACCTGAGTTCAAGTGTTGGCATGCACGAAATCTAGTGAAAACTCAGCAAGAATTATTTGTAAATAATGAAATTTTACAGTTAAAAGTAAATTCAAGACAAAAACATAAACAAAAGATCCCATGAAAGTGAAACTATGATACTATACACATGAAGAAAATGACAAAATAAAAGAATTAAAATGGAAAACAATAATAAATCCAAAACCAAACAATTTTCTGACAGAAAATTTAATGGAAAATTGTGGGGGGGGGGGGGAGGAAAATCTAAAACCTTCTCAAGCTTCTGATAAGAGTCCGCTTTGAGTGGAACCCAACCATGGATAGCTTCACCGGCGACGGCGCTGAGCCAAGCAGGCCAACCGGCTGCCACGTGTTCGCCTTCTATGTACTTTTGCAAATTCCCCAACCTCAAGCTCAACGAGTCGGATCTCGAACTCGCACGACCCGACTCACCCAAGTCGCTCCCACTCAGTCCGAACGCACCACCCAAATCACTCACGCCCCCACTGTTACTACTCTTTTTCTTCGTCTTCCTACCGCTACCGCCGCTGCTCCGCTTCTTCTCGAGCTCCGATAACCCGACCCGATAACGACCCGAATTGGTCCCGGAGCTACAGGCGGCGCCCGCTTTGTCACGCAAAGCTCCGGAGTTGTCGAAAGCAGGCGTCACAGACACCGTCTGCTTCGAGCTCACACAACCCATCAATGGCTGTTTATCATGTGATCAAAATCCCAAAGATCCCCCAACTTCCCTACTATTTTTTCCTTTTTTTTGCGCCAACCCGACCCGGAGAAAGAATCAACAAACAGTGGAGGTCAGCTGTGAGCTGAATTTCACCCTTTTAGCTTCTGCCCATCACTTCTATCTTCTTTAAAAAGAAAAAAAAAACAAAAGATCAAAAAATGGAAGCCTTTACAATGAACTATATATATATATATATATATATATATATACGAGTGTGTAAATATTTGATTTGGTAGCAACAATGACGGAAGGTAATAGAAGGAGAAAGCACAGATTTTAGTGGGATTTTCAAACAAAAGAATCAGAAGCTACCGAAATCAACGGAAAGATTGAAATTGAAAGGGAAAAGGAAGGAAAAAAAAACAGTTTTAAATAAAATATTAGGGAAATTAATGAAAAAAAAAGGAATACTTTGTTTCAGCACTGTTTTGTTGGGGAGTTTATATTCTTTGTTCTTGTTTTTTTGACTGAAAAACAGAAAAAAAATGTTTTTGATCTCTGTTTTTATGAAATTTTGTATGATTCTCTGTTTGTATGTGACCGTGTATGAATGATTTCAAATAACAACAGAAAAAATTGGCTGGCATTCAATTACCAGTGGTTTTCTTTTATTTTTGAATATTGAAGCAAAATAAATAAAATATATATCACACAATTTAATAAAAATGAAAATCATAATTTTTTAGATTTGCTTCATTAATTTGTGATTAATTTTGAGGGGATCTTTACCTTTTTTTAAATAAATACATTAGAGTTTTATTAAATTGTATTTAAATGATTATTTTGTATTTTAAATTTTAAATTTTAATAAAATTAATTTTTAAAATTTATTAAATTTTATAACGATTATTTATAATTTTTTAAAATTAAAATAATTACTTTGATTGTATTTTAATGACTTTTCAATGTATTTTATCCTATTTTTTATTTGAAAGGATTTATTATTTTATTTATTGATGATAGTTGGGTTGTTGTTGACTAAATTAGTCTTTTGTCTTCTGATTTTCTTTCAAAATTTTAAGATGTTGAATTCAGATCTATTTTACATAAACACATTATTTGAACTTTAATATTTATTTTGCAATTCACACTATAAATATAAAATTGTGTTTTGTAAGATTTTTTTTTTGGGTATTATCATTGGTATCCGGTATCCGATCTATTGATCGATTAATCTAGATCGGGTATTGTAGAGGCAACCCTCCCAACCCAGTTTACTCTATTTACAATCGTCAGGATTCGAAGCTCTGACATTTCTTAAGTAATCTAGTGTCTTATCTCACTAAATCAATCGGTTGTTGGCTTTGTAAATGATAAGTCGAGATATTATAATGTTTATAATTTATTTATTTTTTATGTTAATATATTTTATCGGAATTACATACTTTTGATTTTATTTGATTTTGTTTATGTCATAACTAAATTATAAATAAATATGAAAACAATCATGACTTAATCACGTAAAATCATCAAGAATAAAAATAGTATATGCAAAGCGTACCTGAATTGGTTGATAGGTTGAAATCGGGAATAAGAGTAAATACGAGATTGTCTGTTTCTTGGGGATCATAACTCCTTTATATAGCTAATTTAAGAATCAATTATTGTTTTTACTCATAACTTTGCCCCTCGTTGATTTATAAATTCAATTTTAACGAATGGTCTATTAGAACTTGGTTTTCTCCTAATTCAGGGTTTTGTCCTGACTTATCTAGATCAATCCGTATTGTGCACCTGATTTTGACAAGTGAGTCTTCTAACGAGAATTTTAAATATACATGAAGATTCGAACTCGAAACTTGCTTAAACGATATCAAATTGTGTACCATTTGAACCAATCTTATTGGTCTATTAAACTTTTAAAGATTAGACTATAATATATATATATATATATTCGAGCACAAATACAAATAAAAATGTTAAAGAATAATAATTGTAGGATTGAATATTTTTTGAATTTTGTGTTACGTAAGAGTAGGGGATAGAGAGAGAGGAACATGTCCTACTAAAGGAAAAGGACACCCCAAATTCCTTTTCTTCTAGGTCATATGATGAAAGAGAAATACCCATCAAAACAAGGCATTCATATTAACATTACTTTTGTTTTTATCTTTTAAAATTACTCACTATTTTTCTTTAAGGAGTTCGCTATTTGATGTATTGATTATTTATAATAATTATTTTAAATATTACATAATATTTTTAATTTATAGGGGCAAAAATAATCAATAATAATAAGCATTAAAATATGTTCTGATTATTATTTTAAAATAATTATGATTATGTTAATGTTTTTATTTTGCTTTTTAAGTTTGGCATTTGACTCTTTCTTTTCATTGATAGGAGTACATATATTTGTTCATTTTTCATAAGTAAATATCATATTTGATGATGATGAAGGTCTTCTTTCCCTATTTTCTTTTGTAATTGGACCACTCTTGTCGGGCAGTGATCGATGATCTACATTATAATATTTTTAATAAAATTATATTTATACACATATCATAATACAATTCTTTTATATTAATTTTAGGATAAACAAAGCGTTCAGTATCTAAATTATTAGTTTTTGTTCGTTTTAGTATCTAAACATTTAATTAAAATAATACATAACATTTAGTTTTTATTTCATTTTAGTACTCATTAAAAATTAATGTTAAATTTGGGGGGGGGGGAAATAAAAGTTTTTAATGACATGGTACTAAAATGAAAAAAACTAAACGTTAGGAATGATTTTAGAATAATTGAAAATTTAGATATTAAAACGGATCAAATTGATAATTTATGTACTAATCGTGTAATTTACCCTTAGTTTTAATGATATATAACATAAGTTTATTATGAGAGTGATTCTTTGATCATATTTTCAAAGTTTATAATATTAAGTTTCGAATCATTTATATCCTTTAAGAAATTAATATCGTATAATATATTAACTTTATAGGTTAAATGAGATATTATTTTCTTTTAAGGTTGTGAGTTTAAACAGTCGCATTTGTATGATGTATGTGGACTATTAATAATTAATAAATATTTTAGACATATATATACTACTTTATAATAGGGATGGCCACAGGGTGAGGTAGACCGGTTTTTTGGTTGTCCCGATCCTAACCCGAAAATATATGTCTAAAAGTCGATCCCACCTCACCCCAAAAAATTTTAAGTTTTTCTCGCCTCGAACCCGTCTCGATTTTTAAACTAAAACCCTAACTCCGACCTAACCCAGTCTGAATATATTTATATTTTAATATAATTAAAATAATATATTTTATAATATATTTATAATTATTTATTATATGTAAATGGTTAAATTAATATTTTATAATAATTTTATATTTTTAATAAATGAGATATTTTAATAATATAAAAATAAAAAAATATTAATTTATATATATATAAATACAAATTAGTCGGGTCGGGTCAATAATTTTTCACCTTAAACCCGATCTCGACTAGCCCCAAAATTTTTAACATATAACCCAACCGCCACGCACCTTGAAAAATAAAAAATAAAAAATCCCACCCCTATAAGGTCATATTGGGATGAGGCCCGTCGAATTCGAGTATTTTGACCATCTTACTTTATAATCATTCTCAAATATTAAAAGAATTAATATTTTATTTCATTAAATCAATTTATAGAACACATAAACAAATCTCTCCGATCTGCCTCCCTTCCATCTATTTTGTTGTCTTTCGGATAGTTATGTTGTACAACAGTTTAATATAAAGTTAAGGAAAGGCGTTACCGAAAATATTAATATTTTTTTAACATTTCTAGTAGAGCGCTGTCTAAAATGTTATTTTTCTACCGAAAATGTTAATTTAACTACTAAAAATGTTAATTTAGCTACCTAAAATGAATATTTCCGATATTAACATTTTCAGTAAAAAAATAACATTTTAGGTAGCGCTCTACCGTAAATATTAAAAAATATAAATATTTTCAGTAGCGTATTTCCTTAACATTATATTAGGTTGCATTTCCTTAGACATCCCCGTTCTCTTTTTGCTTTTTAAAACGCAAAATAAATAGGATATTTTGTTATTGGATCTAGTGACGATTTGAATATTGTTCGATATTCGACTTACTTTATAAAAAATATGAATTTACTAAATAATCTCAATGATAAAAAATATTATTTTTCTAGAGATTTTAGATATGAACAATTACATCTGTGAAATGTGTGTATATTTATAAATAATTATTTTTTAACCACTACTATCTTATAATCACCACCTATAATCAACAAATAAACACTTATATTTAAGCTTTAAATATATAATATTTGCCTTAGTGATTAAAGAGAGTGGTGTTCTCACTTAAAGTTATGATCTCGGGTAATTGTATCTGTAAAGTTTATGTGTCTTGTCCATGAATTACGAACATATATTATATTGGGTAAATTATGCAAATGATCCCTCGACTATAAGGTGTTGATTTATTAAGTTCCTCGACTATTAAAAGTTACAAAATGATTCTTCGACTATAGAGTGTTGCTGTGTTGAGTCCTTTGACTATTAAAAGATACAAAATGGTCATCAATTATTCATTATGTTCCAAATTCAACATTTTTCGTTAAAATGATAATATTTTAAGTTGAACGTTAACCTATTGACTGTGACATGGTAAAATTTGATCCTAAAATCTCAAATGACATTATACATCAGTCATCATGTTGACGTCCGACTTAAACAACCACTAATTTTTGAACGGAAAATGACGAGTTTGGAACATAATGAATAGTCGAGTGACTATTTTGTAACTTTTAATAGTCAAGAGTCTTAACAAAGCAACATTCTATAGTTAGATGATCATTTTATAACTTTTAATAGTCAAATAACTTAATAAAACAATACCATATAATCAGTGGACCATCCGTATATTTTACCCTATTATATTATAGTCACCTCAAAATATTAAAAATTATATCCGTAAAAGCATTATTGTTTTATATTTTACGAAAAGATATTAACGACTTAAAAAATACAATTTAAATTTAATCATTGGAAGTTTAAATATTAAATAAATAATGTTATTTTGAGTTTTGAGTCTAAATACTTAATAAACTATTATATATTTTAAAAATATAATATTAGATTTCTACCAGTATTCAATCCTGAATCCGTTCGATAGGTTGTAAATGAGTATAATTTAAAATATATATAATAGTTAATTATTTAAAAAGCTAATTAATAATACTACAACTTTCTTTAAAGACATCGCCTCCTAACCTTTTGCAAAATGAAATAATTTGGGCCACTTCACGACATTAAATTGAGTTGTTCGTCTAGCTCAGTTGGTAGAGCACAAGGCTCTTAATTTTGTGGTCGTGGAATCGAGTCTCACTGAGAGCAATTCATAACGGAGGTCTTCTACGGAAACTGCTCTCAACCTGGCGTTGGAGGTAGCCTACTACCCTACCTGCCCCTTACCCCATTACATATGGGAATAGGGTAACTTAAACTTCACGGCATTAAACAAAACAGGGTTAAAGTTTGGCTGGGATTTGCTCCCTCAAAACAAGGCTTTGAGCCCTCTATATTTGAAGAAACATGCATGCTTTGTCATCATCAAATAAAACAGTATACATAGATTTAGATCCATTTATACAGCCTAAAACTTTTTAATTTTATATCATTTTAGGATCGTTTGATTGAAATGAATCAAAAGTTGAGATTAACTCTTTGTTTTTTTCTCAGTGAATATCTTCTTATTTTCCGCTGTTAATCTTAGCATTTGATTTCTCTTAATCCAACGATTCTAAAAAGATGTAAGTTTTACATTCTTTTAGGATCTTTTGATTGAAAAGAATCAAAAGCTGAGATTAACTCATTGTTTTTTCTCAGTGAAGATCTTCTCATTTTCCGCTGTTAATCTTAGCATTTGATTTCTCTTAATCCAACGATTCTAAAAAGATGTAAGTTTTACATTCTTTTAGGATCGTTGAATTGAAGAAAATAAAATGCTAAGATTAAGATCCACATTACATTGTGTAAAACTCCTTTAGTTTTACATCCTTTTAGGATCGTTGGATTGAGAGAAATCAAAGGCTAAGATTAACTCATTATTTTTTTAGTGAATATCTTCTCATGTCCTGCTGTTAATCTCAACATTTGATTTCTCTCATTCAATGATCCCAAAATTAAAATAATTTTACATAGTGTATTTTTGAAATTTTAAAATTTTAAAATTTATACATAATTTAAATTTTTTAGATATCTTTGAATAATAATTTATTTTCGTTCGACTTTATGTATATATTAGAGTGACTATTATTAGAAATGACCATCTAGCTCAGTTGGTAGAGCACAAGGTTCTAAACCTTGAGGTCGTGGGATCAAGTCCCACGGAGGGCATTTCATAATTTGGAGGTCTCCTACGGAAGCTGCTTTCAACCTGGTGTTGGGGGCAGCCTACTATCTTACCTCCCCCTTACCCCATACATATGGGAAAAAAGGGACAACCATTAGAGTGACTATTAGTGGATGCATTTGTATCCAATAAGGTTACAAGTTGCATCTAGCGAGTATGATCTTCAACGGCATAATAAGTTTTATCAAATCAAAGGCTCGACATAATAATTTGATCAATTTTAGTTTGTATACATTTTAAAATTTTAAAATTTCAATAACCATCTAAATTGTACAATGACTATATGAATAATAAATGACTAATAAAATTATCTTAACATTTTAAATATATTATTTTATATTATTATGAATTTTATTTTTATTAATGAAATAAATGACCGACAATACTATAAGATTTGAGAGTTCCATTTAATATTCAGTTATAATTAGTTTTTTATTCAAAATAATTGATTAATTTTTATATGTAATTTATTATCTTTATGGAGATATATGTGAATTTTGCAAACAACAATTAATTATTAGTACTTTCTTTTTTTAATTTAGGACTTTTACTACATGGGTTAATACATTGTCGAATATTTATATTTTTATATTTTTTAAATATAATTTAAGAACACTTGGTGTTATTTTAGATTTAAATCTTAATATTTAAATCTTAATATTTATATTTTTAAAATAAACCTAATTATTTTTTATATTTCATATGAGAAGTTATACAAACAATTTAATTAATATTATATATATTAAAATAAATAAAATTAATTTCTACAATAGTTTAACATAAATATTATATGTATTGTATTAATTTATCAAAAAAATAACATGATAAACCAACAACTAGACGGTCTAGCGAGATGAGACACTAGACCCCTTAAGCAAATTGTGTTGGGAGGGTCGCCCATGCTTATGTAGTACTCGATCTGAAATCAGACACCAGTGGTTATACAAAATATAAATATGTGAAGATGTCGCATGATCTATCGTTAATGAAAAATAACTAACGATGCCAATAATTGTAATGCAAGTTCCTAAAGAAGATGAAAACAACTAAAAAAGTAATATCTACTATAATTGATTGACTAATAAAAAATTCAATTAAATTAGTTATGTAGTTATGATTAAATATTTGTCACTAATAAGAATGATATTAGTGTCTAAATTTTCGTCGTTGTTATTAATATTGTTGAATATTAATAAAAGGCTTACTCTGCAACGTATTACCTCAAATCCATGGCTGGCACCAGCTTGTAAATCAGTTTCCACTATGTGACATTACATTAATGAGATAAATTTCCAAAAGGAAATGAAACCTCATCTTTGGGGTATCGTGATCATCATGGAAGTTGTTCGTTGGGGAGGATTGTGGGGTGGTCTCAGGCTCCACGGACACAGTTATATCACTCGGAGAAACCATGGTTGGGGTTAACCATGGTTGGGGTTAACGATGAAAAGGTTTGATTTACAATGGATTATTAGAGCGAACACTAATCCAATCAGAACCACCCAAAGCTGATGGAGATTGCAATCCCAACCATGGTTTCTTCGAGTGATATAACTGTATCGACCAATTTAATTTTGTACTCCTAAATACGTATTGGTTTCATTTGGGTCATTTGTTAATAAAAATTAAATTGTTTTAAACATAAGTTCTTAAGCTAAGCTCACTGCACCGATCATTGCACTTACCCTCACCTCATACTCCTTTATGAACGATGCGGCCAGAACTGGAATCATTGTGCCCACCGAGAACACCATGCCCGAAGCTGCCGGTGCTCTTAAAGGGTTCTTCATATGCAAATGCACCCAGACAAACTCACGTATGGCCGTGCGGAATGCCCCTGCAACTAGACCAACAAAACCGGTTAAAATGATGGCCTTGCCGTTGCTAACATTTTAGTACAACATATTGAATGATGATTGAGATAAAAATTCTCTCCCCCATCATTTGTTTTCACTTCAAGTGCTAGAGAATAGGTGATTAGCATCATACACTGTAGGTTAGCCTTGTCTTGGAATCTGTTTTCTTTAATTTCATGGACAGGGCATTAGAAATGGCATCCCACTAGGTGCTGTGGAAAAGGTCTTGACACGCAGAAGTTACTTCAATACCTTTGGTGGGAACCCTGTATGTACTGCAGCAGGGTCAGCCGTCCTGAAAGTAATCCAAAAAGAAAAGCTTCAGGAGAATGCACATGTCGTAGGGTCACATTTGAAGTAGAGGCTAACTGCACTAAAAGATAAATACGATCGTAAGCTTAATTTATAGGTCCTTTCTCCTTTCTTGTACAACTTGCATTGCTGATTGGTGCTATGGATGGATGTTTGCAGTCATCGGCTACATAAGGGGAAGAAGATTGATGCTTGGAGTTGAACTTGTCAGTTGTCACTGATGACTCACACGCTCAAAACTCCTGCGAAGCTTGAGCCTCTTCATATAATGGACAAATTGAAAGGTTAGGTTTCTTCCAAACCCTACATTTATCCTTGGCCATGGAATGTACTCATTTTGCATGTCTTAGAAATCGGAGTGTTGGTCGGAAAAGGTGGATTTTATGGAAATGTATTCAGAATTACTCCTCCGCTCTGCTTTACTAAGGAAGATGCAGGTCAGTTGATCACCTTAACTTGGATGTTTTTCATCATAATTTCTGACAAACTTCATTTAAATGTATATAGACATGTATGTAACGGATTACACCATGGCCAAAATGTAAGCAAAGCTTCCTTCAAAGTTTAAATATATATAGACATATATGTGATTGTGATGATATCACAAGTTTATATAATCAGTGTTGTATTATAAAATCCTTTCTGTAAATGAAAATCATCCATTAATGCACTGTTCTAAATGATGAAATTGCAAAATTATAAATGATTAATAATAGTATTATCTCTGATTATACACACTGATTAATCTATGTGAGCACTCTTCTAAAGACCCTCAACAATTTGACCAAAAACGCTCGAATACCCTGTAACCTCTGATGCACGAACCTGAGACTTTTAAGAATAACAACCATTCTATTTTTAACTACTAAGATAGCTTGGTTCATGTGACGATATAATTATGTTGAGTTAATAACTATATTATCAAAATAATAACCCATAAATATTATGATGCGTCAATAACAGAATTGTTAGAGAGTGACCAAAATGAAAACAGAACTAAACATTGGTTATTTTTTGAAAAATTGAGACGACTATATTGAACATTTTTCAAAGTTTAGTGACCACACGACCACACGCTATCTCAAATCAACGATGGTTGAAACCGAGTAGCAGTGTAAACAAGCATACGAGCCCAAGATAACTACCAAGCATCATTGGAATAAGAGGATAGAGTCTCGCAGCATACTTTAAAAGGTTCTCCTATAAGGGAGAGAGAGAGAGAGAGAGAGAGAGAGAGAGAGATCCCTCCAAATGAAACACCAAGAAAAGCGACATCGATAGTACTACGGGCATCGGAAAAGAGAACGGAAGGTAGATGGAGAAAGGGAAATGAGAAACAAGAAGTTGTTGGATGAAACAAAAGGCTGTAGAGGACGAGAAAGGCGAAAGGGAAAAACCGAGAACTACAGAAACGACTAGGGAGATTAGTTGCCACAAGCAGCAGCCAGTTACATGGTCAATTACGGCCCAAGATTACCGATTATTCTAAACATTCTCCCCTTTATCAATATCACCATCTATGTTGCTCATATAATATCGGATAGTTGTATCCTACACAATATCAATAAGTTCTTCATATATTAAAAAAACACATACCTCGAATACATTCGTACGAGTGTCTAACACAACTGTTCCAAAGAAAAAGGAAAGCGATCAGTAGAATAGATTACCTACTTCAAGGAAAATGGAGAACCAAAGCAACAAAGATGAAAACCAGGGCCCGTAAAAGAGAACAAGTTTTGACATAGCACAGCATTTGTACTCCAAAACATAGAAAAAAAAACCCAATCCAAACAACATTTATACCCCCAAGTCTCAGAGAGGCAAACTATTTAAAGCTCTTAACAAAAATCTTTAAATTTAGAGTTGCAATAAGAGACAGCAAATCAATCTCAAACTACTTTGGACCAATGTCCTTGAGTGCACAAATCTGCTCCTCCCCCATTGCGGACATAACAGAGACGACAAGGTCTTTCCCCTCCGCAAAACCATCCTTGATCTGCAGTCAAGAAAGAAGCAATTATTGGATACAAGTTCATACAAGCTATTATTGCAATAACACACCACGATGGGAAGTAACGAGAAATGCAATCATACAAGTACTCATTGAAAATGAGAGGTGGAAAATTCAGCAGCATCATAATAATAAACAAAAGAACAAGCAATTTCAGCCCGATTAAACATGCTTAAGGGACTATGAACACCCATTGGAATTTGGGGTTCAACAACAAGAATAGACCATTAGTCAACTAACACTTTCTAAAGAAAATATGACATTTTGAGTTTTTGACCCCACACAAAAAAAAAAGTTAAGGGCTAAAGTGCTTCAAGAAAAATAATAGGAGCCAAGGTGAATATTCTGTCAAACATTAAGAACAAAATTTGGCATTATGCCAAAAAAAATGCATCAAAAGATAGATAGTTGACCTGTTTCAACAAGCTCTCATCAGTTGGAAGCCTCAGATCATCCTTAGTGTCTCCGCTATCAGTAAGCAAGCTCACCTGAAAATTTTAACTAGTTTAGAAGAAACAAACAGGCACACACAACAAAAAAGGGAGAGAGAGGAAGAGAGGGAACATCAAGTAAAAAGGAAGCAAAATGAACTTACAAACCCATCCTCAGAAATATCAATCAACTGGTAATCAATACGATTGACATGCGGAACCTGTCAGAAACAACGGAATCATTCATGAACACAATCCAATTACAAGACAGATTAAAGTTTAAACCAAATGAGAACAATCCATACATCACAATTGTGGGAAGAAGGAACAATATCTTCCAGCTTCTTAGCAGTGAAGATGTCGATTCCAACAAAGTGACATTTAGCATGTCCATGCTTCCCAGTCTTGGAGGTGGAAACCTCAACAACCTGTAGAATGCCAAATACAACAACCGTGTCAGGCTGTCAGCTAAATTTTGCAAATCATTGTGCACCCAAATCTAAATAACAATCATAGGGGCCAAATCAACAGTCACAGTAGTTTATCAAATGCCATATCATCAGAAGAATCATTCAAAAATTACAATTTCTTAATATAAAGGCTCTGAGTTGTTTGTTTTTGTTACACCCTCTCAATTTGCTTTTGATTAATAAAAAACTACTATAAAGCTAAAATTCAAATAACAATAATAGGATGAAAAATAATAGACAGAAGTAATTTTATCACATGCCATGTAATTGGCTACTCATCATCAGAGGAATCATTAAAACTTTTAGTTTCTTAACACTACATACTTGAGTTGTTTACTTTTGTGTCTGCGTTTCCAATTATAAATCCAAATAACAATCATAGGGTGTGCAATTCAACATTCAATGCTAATTGCTCATTATCATAACAATCATCTTAAAATCATTAATTTCTTAATATTAAAGACTCCGACATGTTCGGTTTTTTTTTCCAATTATAATGCTCCAAGTAACAATAACCAATTTGCTCATCATAAGAAGAATCATTCAAATATTATAGAATTCTTAAAACTAAAGACATAAGAGCGTTAGCTCTTTTTATTTTCCTTTTGCTTTATCGAAAGTTAGAACAAAAGCTAAAGAAAAAGAAAACAAAAAAAAGCAAAATCAAATTGAATTATCAGTTCCTTCAAACGTAAAACGTTACTTTTCACTTCAGCAAAGAAAAAAGCTAATAAAAGTAAAAATCAAACGAAACACATAGGCTTCAACTATCCACCCACTAAAAGCACTAAAAGAGAACAGATCTGAACCATCAGAATGTCAAATCTCAATGCAAATATGAAAAAACAATCTCGAGTTCATTTTTACGACAATATCAAAGAGATCGTTCAATTAAAAGAGAATACCTTGCAGGGACGGTTCTTGATGACGATATATCCGTTCTTACGGATGGTACCGGCTTGCTGAGGGTAGGTTTTGGAGGCGCCGGCGTCGGCCTTGGACTCAAAATGATGCTCCTCGTCCGACATTATTAGCTCTCTGTTGTTTTACTTTCTGGGTTTTGGCCGAGGCAGATTGGGGTAACAGGAGACAGAGCATGTGGGTTCGTAATTATATATAAGATTTTTTTGTGTACGTTTAATGTTTGAAGGGTCTAATTGTTTCCGGAGTCCCTATACTCTTTAGACTTTATGAACAGTCAGCCTATGTGTTTGATTTAAAATAAAAGTGTGATAGATAATGTTGTTCATTGATTTCTTTTAAATTTAAATATATATTATTGATTAGATTTTAATTTTTAAATTATATTTTCAAATATATATTATTGATTTCTATTGATTTATATATATATATATCAATTTAACAAAGGGTTTTAATTCGACCCCAAGTCCTTGTACTCTTTGAACTTTTGAATTTAGTCACTATTTGTTTGATTGAAAAAAACTAAAATGTAATTTGACAACATTGATATTTTAGTTAAATTTGAATGCAAGTTATAAAATAAGGTTTAATTTTCAAATTTAATATTGGAATGACACGTGTTTAGATTTAATGAATGTCTATTACATGTTATCAAATGGAATTTTTTTTAAATTGAGATTTTAATTTTTAGATCTAATCAAAATGGGTACTAATTTATAATAATTAAAAGTATATAAACTAAATCAAAAGAGGAGCTAAGTTAAAACTAAACCTTTGAAAGTGTTCTTAGGGTTCTCAGTTTTATTCGGCGTTAGCGTTATCCTTTTGGAAGAGGTGGGTCCCTTACCTGCCACATGGAGATGATGGAGGCACGTGAGTGGATAGTTGTTGTCTGGAGATATAAAATTATTATAAATTTTATATTTTTTATTAAAAATATTTTTATCTTATAAAAGTTTATAAATTTAAATTCGTTTCTTTAAATTTAAATTTATAATTTTAATATAAAATTCTACGCCAGACTATAAACCGATAATTTTTAGTGAAAAAGTCCAAACCAAAGCGGTGATGATGGAGGGCTGGAATTATTGTGGCCAATATCTGCGTTATTTGAACGCGACATAAATTCTTTTGAGAAAACTACAAATTTTACCGCTGCTTTTAATATCATTTCTGTTTCGGTTAGTATGTTTTAAAAAATTTCAATTTAATCTTCTAACTCCGATTTTACTCTTATTTATCATTTCACCATTGAATCACAAACAACTATTAATCGAATACTCGCTAATATCTTTCATCCATTATAGCTATACCAAAGATTACATTATCCCCATAACTATCTATGGTTAGTATATGAAAAAACCGAAGATAGCCGTTTGTAGGGATGAATAAAACTCGATTCGACTCTGAAAAGTCGGTAAATTTTTATTTTAATATCAACTCATTTCCATGCTAAATAATATGAGATGAGATGGCATGAGCATGGTTTTGTTCTTAAAACAGAAGGGAATGGATTCCCGGTTTAAAATCACAATGTTGATAGCACAGATTCTTCAGCAGACTCAACATGAAAACAAACCCTTAGCGACGCTAAAACTGAGTGCACATCACCAGAAAGTTTTTATTCAGATATCAATTATTCTTAGATTATGGATCTACTGAATGTTAATATCAAGGATCTTCCGAAAGATTTGCAAACTCAGAGAACATCTCCTTTTATGGATCAAGCATGGTTGCCACAAATGAACATTCAGTTGACGACGACGACGGCGACGCTTGAAAATCACGAGTATTGATTGAGTTTTATGGCTTGAAGCTGATCAGAGAGAAGGTCCAGGGAATCACAATCAGCAGTAGCATGATGGTTAGTGTTGATGTTGGTGGTAAATCCTTGTGTTGGTGCTGCATGGGGTTCATGCAGGCCCGGTTCATCAGTAACGTGTTCTTCATGTCTCGGTTCAGATATCCGATTCGGGTTCTCAATTTCGCGAGGCCGATGATGTTCCGGTAATCGGCTAGGATTTGAGGAAAAGGTTTGTTCGTAACGGGGTCGATCCCATTTCGGATAGCTTCTTCTTCAACTTAGTATTCCAGTAATTTTTTACATCGTTGTCTGTTCTTCCTGGAAGCTGTTGGGCTATGATGGACCACCTTGAACCATGACCAAAAACAAAATAGAAACCAGACAGACACACATACAAGATAGTGTCATGTCAAAGCAAAATCTGATGCTGCAGCCTATGTTATTCCGACTCTTCGTTTTTGTCGGAGTAACATATACTGCAGCATATACAACAACATACATGAAATGTTCCCCGGAATTCGATATTACCTGCTGCCGATGGTGGCGTGAAGCCGGATGATCAACTCTTCTTCGACGGAGTGAAGCTTTCGTGTTTAAGATCCGGTCAAAGGTAATTAGTCCATCGCAGTGGACAACATAAATTTACATGTTCATATTCTAAATTACATATATCCGAAATGTCGGTTGGCTTAATTGGCCATTAAAGCAGCGTCTACCAAAACACTTGTGTCATAATTGCAGGTGATTGGGATTTGTCTGATTCAACAATTGGCCAATCGAGAATGAGGCTAGTTTTTTGAAGGTACCTACAAACAGTATTGTACCTATTTCAAAGGCTTAATTACTCTCTTTGACTTTTTTTTTTGTAAACATATGGGCCATGGTCTGATTCAGTTTTATCCGTTTTAGTACTTAAATTTTTATTTTTTTTAAAATCATATTTAAAATTTAATTTTTGTTTCATTAGTACTCGCCGTTAAAAAAATTTAGTTTTTGTTTCATTTTAATATTCCGTTCAAAATTTAAAGTCAAGTTTTGAAAAAATTGAAAGTTTATGTAATAAAACAAACAAAAGTTGATAGTTTAGGTAATAAACGCGTTAAGTTTTTAGCAGCGGATACTAAAATGAAAACTAAACGTTAGGTATGATTTTGGAAAAATCGAAAGTATAACCACTAAAACGGGTTGAAATGCGTAGTTTACCCATAACATTATTACTACACCAACAATCAATTAGTCTAGTGAGATAAGACATTACATCCCTTAAGCAAGGTCATGGGTTCAAATCTTGATGTTCGCAAATGGAGCAAACTAGATTGCGAAAGTACCCTTACTTCTTTTTTGTAGTACTCGATCCAGATTAGTTGATCAATAGATTGAATACATGTGATTATAAAAGAATATTATTACATGTCACATATTAATGAGTATTATTAAAGTTCGGTGTTTGTACAGGGCCAATTGAGTAATCTTTTTTGCCATTATAAATGGTGTTGAACGCTGCTTAATGTTGCACCGTCCGCCTTTGTTTTTGGTGATCACGGTGCCCGTATGGTGGTGATCGCTGACATCCAAGACGAACTAGGCCAGCAGGTAGCTGCATCGATCGGCTCCCAAAAGTGCCGCTACATCCACTGCGATGTTACCAATGAAGAGCAAGTGAAAGCCACGGTGGAATGGGCGGTACAAAATTACGGGCAGTTCGACATCATGTTTAGCAACGCCGGGATAATACGTTCCAAGAAGCGTAACTCCAACTCCGATCAAAATGATCTGGATCTAGACTTGGCAGCTTTAGACCACCTTTTCGCCGTCAACGTGCATGGCATGGCTGCCCGCGTGAAACACGCGTTGCGTGCTATGGTCGTGCAGCGTGTAAGAGGAGCATCATATGCTGCGCTAGCGTCGCCGCCAGCCGCGGAGGGGACACAGACACCGATTACTACATGTCGAAGCATGCGTTCATGGGATTGGTAAGGTCAGCTAGCCATCAGCTTGGGGAGCATGGGATTAGGGTAAACAGCTTATCGCCGTTCGTGGTGGCGTTGAAGTCAATAACGGATCACCTGAACGGAACGAAAGCGGAGGAAGCTGGGAATGTTTATGATCCGGAAACAAAGTTGAAAGGGGTGGTGCTTAAAGCGAAGGACGTAGCTGAAGCAGAGGAAGATCGGAAGGTTGTTTCCGGACACGACATGGTGGTGCACGGTGGGTTTGAGCTCAAATAGTTAAATATCCGCTTGGTGGATTTCTACATTATCCACTTAAAACTAATGAAATATATAACTTCATCGTATCTGGTCTCACCTACTGATGTAAAATTGATATGTACCGACCTCTATCGATACAAACCCAACTATAACTATAATGCTATTTACCATCATCGATCTTCAACTAGGATTGGCCATTTATTACACCAGATATGGTTCAGTGCAATGCAATGACAAGTAAATGAAAGAAATCAAAAGCATCGGTCATTTATTACGCGAAATATGGTTCGGGGTGCGATGCAATGACAATTATCGACCACAATATAACAAGAAAATTTCGAATTACTATTTCAGGATCTATCTTTTTTGCCTTCCCATAAGTCTTCACATACAATGATCCTTCAGCAACAGCACAAAAAAACTCAACTGACGAGAAAAGAAAAGAAAATACCAGGAACACATGGGGGTGCGTCAAACTGAATCGAGCTCCCCATCATGTAATGCATAACGATGCCACTACTTAAGATGGTGCTCGAACAAGGAAGCCATCTCAATCTGCAATATAATCCAAGAGACGTTGAACTATTTAGAATTTAGAGAGAGAAAAGTTGATAAAATCTGATTCGAGAAGCACAAAAGCAAAGCTACAAGATAAATCTTTAGCCTGAAGCAGTCGAGCAAGATTTACGAATCAAACAAAATTTGTTAGACTTGATTCAAATGAATATGGATTGACTGGCCACTTATGCACAACATTTTTGCAAGTTAACAAGGGAGTTTGAGCACTCCAGTACTCTATTATCAACTCACCGCAGTCAAAGCACACTCAGCACCTTTGTTCCCCGATTTACCACCAGCTCGATTTAATGCCTGTAAGTGTTATGTGAAATGAACCAATTACATAAAATTCCACAGCGGCAATCATTTTATTTCTTTAATTGCACCCACCCCCTCTTTACATTCTAATATACCATCTCAAAACTATTCTTAAGTAAATGACAAATCGCATGCTCTAGACCATCCTCTGTCACATGGTAGTTGGTATGCACAGACAATGCGAGAATGATGAGAATTCTCCCTCCCTCTCAGATTCCGTTCAATGTGAAGGAAACTAGAGAGGGTGTCCCGTTAAAGTTCTTAATGCAAAAAGATCTTTATCCAGCTCCTACCTGGTCCATGTCATCACAAGTCAAAACACCAAAGATGCAAGGAACACCTGCAGAGTTGATAAGTTGCCGCTTCAAATCACAAGAAATAATAAAAATTGAAAAATAAGGAAAGATACCGATAGCCAAGTAATCTATGGGTGACTCCATTATTAATACATGAAAAATATTTCCTACAGAAAATGTTTTTCAATCTTTAGGGCATGAGATTGATGCAGATCTTATTTGACAACTGCCACATAAAAATCCGTCATCCAAGTTTGAAAGGATGGTAATTTTCAGCTCTTCAAAAGAAAAGAATCTTACGTGTTCCGTTGTGTTATCTAATTGAAACAATTAGGAGAAGAAAATGAAATTTGGGATTAAATGATTACCATAATAGCATTATGTAGTCAGAAAGAGTAGAATTCACAAAGATGAAGAATTTATGGTGAAAAGTAGGAGTCACTTTGAAAAGAGCACATACTAAAGATGGTATACTTTCAGTCTAAAAGAATATTGAAGGCATAAAATAAGTTTAGAATATGCCTGAATAAACAAGAAAAGCGAGATATATGCTTTTGATCAATGAAAATCTAATTGTTGTCTAACTTTATTGGTGTGCTGCCAACAATAATTGACTCTTGAAACCACAATAGCATTTTATGCGGCATGGGCCTGACCTGAGTTTAAGCCAGCTGATAGTACCCCAGATGTTGCAGAATTAACGACCGCATCATAGTGAGAAGTATCTCCTCTAATCTGTTGGCAGGATTAACAAAATTTGGCAAAATGTACTCAGGAATATCTTTGCAAGCACCCCCCCATGAGCAGATGAAAAGTTACATTAGAGATTTCCAAGGAATATGAAAGAAACCCTACCACAGCCCCAATGCATAAAACTGCATGATACTTTCGAGACTTGCCCAGCCTTTCCGCAACAACACCAATTTCAAAACTACCCGGGACCCAGACAACCTGATAAGAAAGTGAAGAAATGATCAAGCCATCCTAAAAGTTGGCAAAACATTATCTAAAAATTAATGGAAGAATTTGTTCAAAAGATTCATTTACTGAAAAAGGGCTTGTTCTAAGTAAGATGATATACAGCACAAATCATAATATCCTACTCCTATATCCTAGTCTTTTGAACTGTGTTAGTCTAAATAATTGTTCGCATTTGCAGCCGCAATAGCAAATAAAGCACGGCATGTACTTTGATACAAGGACAAAGCAGGCATGCGACCGGGAGTAGAGATATGAGAATGAGATAACAAAATATTAAAGAAGCCTTTTATTTTAGCATAATAAGTAGGAAGGTGGTTAGAGGTTGTTACACACATCAATGTCTTCTTCATTAACAGAATACTTGTGGAAAGTTTCCAGAGCTCCCTCCAAGAGCCGCTTTGTCACAATCTCATTGAAACGGGCGACAACCTTTGATAATGTAGCCCAAAAAAAATACCACAGTAATAACATAATAGCATGGAAATAAAAGAAACACATAAAAATGCAATAGAAGGCAGATTCGATCTTTGACTTCATCATTGCAAATAACAATTAAAGAAAGAACTGACCACAGCAAAGCGAAGGCCTTGAGTTTTGGTCACGGATCCCTCCAAATGGCGGACTGCCGCAATTTGTACAGAGGAGGAGCTCTGCTTCCTATCCACCACAAATCCTGATTTCATCAAACGAGTTTCAAAGAAGATAATTAATAAATTTTTGAACCAGTTATGTAATAATATCTAGCTGAGCTAAACTTCAATCACTAACAAAGTATAAATCAGAATCCTACATTTCTCATTATTTTCTGTTTCTTAGACTGAAGAGTGAAGTTTTGCCCTAATTTCAAAAACAAATTCTATAAATTCCAAAGCTCGTGAATCAAATTGAAGGATGACAAGACCCGGAGTTAGAAAAAAAGTATAAATTTCCAAAAAAAAAAAAAACAACGTTAAACAAAACTGAGATTCAGATTTTAATTGAAGCACCAAAAACATGACATGAGAATCAAAGAGAGATAGATAACCTTGGAATTGGAAGGAGGAGGAAAAGGACAGAGAGGTTGACTTGTGGGGGGAGATGGCGGCGGCGGCAGAGGGTGGATTCCTGGGACTGGGGAACGCAGCGCAAACTGTTCCACTTAAGAGACGCTCTTGAATCTTTAAACGTCCAAATCCATTTAAAGCCATTTCCTTTCTCTTTGCTTTCTGTACTCTTCTGCAATGCTTGATCTGGTTTTGTTTGGATTGCTGCCCTGCGCCTCCTCTGCTTTTAGACTTCTACTAGCATGAGTAATGATCTAAATACAATATAATATAAATTCTCTCTCCACCATTAAGTCTTAAAAACTGTTTTGATTTTTGCATTTTTTAATATTGTTTTTTTCTCTTTCGAAAATATTGATTTTAGAATATTAGTTTATTTATATATATATATATATATATATATATATATATATATATATATTGTAAATATTAAATAATTTCATTTACACTCTAAGAAATGAATTAATCATGTCGCAAAATTGTTAGTGTTTATTCTTTAAAAAAACTTATTTGAAATAAAATAATGTGAAATTCGTTATTTACTAATGTGCTTACAATTAGTTGGGATAATATATAATACATTAGATTTTTTAAATAATATCTAAAATTTAAATTAGTTATAATAATATTTGATTTAAATTAATTGATAAATATATAAAATATAGATAATTATACCATAAAAAAGTAAATCATTTTTCAATTAGTAAGAGGAACTAATTTCTTGAATAAATAAAAAATAAGGACTAAAATCATAACATACTAATTTCTTCCTAAATTCATCCCCTACTAATAATGAAAAGATCATATGTTGATTAAAAAACTCTAACAAAACAATTAAAAAATAAAAAATACGAATAATATCCACTATCGTCGTTGAATGATAAGCAACATCAACATTATTGAAAAAATAAGTATAACGATGACGATATGTTAATAAACTATCTTTTATCACAATTCAATCGCGACCTAAATGAAATAATTGTGAATACCTATCAATATGATAACAATAACCTGATAGTAAAAAGGATTGTGAAAAAAGAACAAACAAACAACTTCAATGAATTACCTTACTGATTAAAGAATTGAATCAAATGAAAGAAATCAATAGCTATGTTACAATGACACTAAGAAAAAGGTCCCCATCATCTAATTCCTTTCCTCTATACCCTAAACAACCTATACAACCTCTTCTACTTGATGGGCTACTGTCAAGAAAGTTACAAGGAATTGAATTCTACCGTAAGTGGATGGCTAGAACTTTGTACATGTTTTCATGGTACAATTGGACTTTTTTCCTGCTTTGCTACCCCACAGGGATCCCCTCTAAGAAAATGGGCTGAGATCCCTATCAACTAAAGCAATGGAGGAGAGATGAACCCGGAACCGGAAAAAAATGCCAAATGAAAGGCAGAAGCTGAAAATAAATCAATAGATCAAAGCGAGAAGCGCCGGCCATGACTGCTACAATTTTTTTAAAAAAATGCTAGATGGGTTATCACTGACCTTGATTACTTGCGATTGAAGCTACACTTTTTGTCACGCTGCATTTATGTGATTGCAGATGTGACGAATGATATAGCGGTTAATCGTGATGAACTTCGACAGCAGAAAGGGCCAAATCAACAAAATAACAGCCGTAACATTGGAGTGCGTTAGCTGTTGGAATCCCTGATCGTAACCATTCTGCATTGAAGCTTGGCCCATCTGACATTTACCGAGTAATGGGAGGCATGTCCTGAAGGATTATGCATGGTTCAAGGCCTGCAAAAGCCTCTGGGATAAGGCCCTTGCCCGGTATGCAACATCTCTGAAGGCTTGAAAATGCACCAATACAGAGGGTGAGGCATATCCTGCCATTGAGATAAAGGTTGCAGCTCGAAGAACGATTCGAGTTCCTCAAAAGCAGTATTTCCTGTCATTCAGTCAAACTGGTCACTACTAGTATGCAATCAAGCCGAGTCAAGCTCAAAGTGTAAAAATATCGAGCTCAATTCAACTCCAAACTCGAGGCTTGAAGCTTGATTTGAGTTTGATTGATTTTCACTTTTAAAGATGAGCAGTCTTCGAGATAAAAATCCAACTGCTTAAACTCAGTTGACGGGACATATATATTCGAGTTCAACTTCGAGTTCAGATTAGAATTCCAGTACTAATTTAAAATAAAAAGATTGATTAGGTTCACGAGGTATTCAAGTAAGTATCAGAATGTTCGAGCTCAAGTCGCTCAATGGCTTAACTCAACTCGCAACGATCAAAGCGGATTCGAGTTTTCATCGAGCCGAACCTGAATATCTTGCAAGTACAGGTCTTCTGTCTACGAGTATAATGAACTCTGCAGGAGCATATTACCTTGCGGGAATAGAGAACCTGATCCTCCTCTATTTTGCAATCTTCTTTGTAAATGGTTAATTCACTTGGCCTTCTCCTGTTCAGCATCCTTCAAAGCTTTTTTCTTATCCATTTCCTCCTGCTTCAAATTCTCTTCATGTGATTTTTGAAACAACTTCACAAATTTTAAGATTGTGGCGGTAACTGCATTCGTTAAATACACAGAATCATCGATTCAACTTCAAATCACCAATCGAAATCAGTTTTACCGTGAGAGAACATGCTGATTTTAGATTGAAATAAGAATCCTAACTAGCTATATTATCTGGAATTGTGAGCCAGTGTGGGATACACATATGCGTACGTGTCCTACAGCTATTTTCATTTTTATTGTAAGATTTTTGTGTATGGAAGGTATTACATCCACAACCTACCTTGCTCAAATGGGCATCGGGCAGGATCCTCACCAAAATAGTGTACAAGTCCATCTGCATTTCTACCCTGTCCACCAAAAGATATAATATCAATGACAAGCCATAATCGAAAGAGTCGGATAACATTTAGACTTATGTTACTCGGACTCAACTCTTGAAACTTGAAAGATTGTATCCCCTAGATAAGTGCTAGAAACTGGTACTTAAATGGAGTTAGAGCAACATAGACATTAAACTAAGTATCAGAGAGAGAGTCAAACTTGGCAAATTACCACCACAGTAAATAGAGTTTGCAGGGATGCTCCCTCTGTTTCTGCTGCAGAAGTAAATTCCTTTAATGTCTAAATTAAAAGAAAAAAAAATGTTAGAACAATGAAAGCATTCCCTTAGTAAAAAAAAAGCATAGCAGTTGATAGTGTTTGATACAGGTTTCATGTTCAACAAGAATTTGCTCAATTTTCGTTCCAAGTTTTTCCATATATTTGGAAGAACATACTCCCACACAAATATCCGAGTATGTTTTGGATACAAGAGTCAAACACAAATGCTCCAGGAATAATAAAAAAATGGAGTGACATAGGTAAACAAATACTTGACATGAAATAAAACACAGTGAAGAATGCACCAAATTTTCTATATGAACGTTGAAGAATAGAAAGCAGTGAAACAACAAAGTACCTTCCGGAAAACTTCAGACACGGGACCATCGGTTTCTGAGGCAGCCAGCTCCTGCCTAACCTTATCTAATCCCTTAGTTATAGCTTGCATTTCTTCTGCTAAAGATTTTAATTGTATCTGCAAGGACAAAAGGCTTCCAACTAAACATACCGTTACCTACGAAGTTAATTGGATTCAAGTACAAGTGTCAAACAAAGATACTTCTAAGAAAAATAAAAAGAGTTGGAATAACATAGGTTAACAAAATACAAATTTCAAGTGCTAAAAAAGACCCATAGAAACCTTAGTTGAGGCCTCAAGGTTAACAAATTCCAGGTGAAACTCAAGAAGTTCTGGTGTCTTGTTAGCTAGGACCTGAGACACAATAAAACAAAGTTGTTATCAATTCAAATTGTCAGTTCCTTTTTGCATCAGAAACAAGTTACATTTTCAAAAAATTCTATTGACTAAATCATATAAATATAATAAATTCTAGTAAAAACTAAAGAACCGAATCTAAAATATATAAAAAGACAGCCTACAAATTAAAAGAGCAGTATTTAAAATTTTCAAGAAAAACAATAACCTTATATAACACCAAAGAGAAGGAAATAAAAATTATTAGACCTTGCAAAGGTAATGCATTAACGTCATCCTGCTAGTAGAAGCACGTGTATCTGAGAGCTTTAGAAGACTATCCAACTTAAATCCAACAGCAGAACCTGTATGATACGAATAATTTCAAAACTTCATATTAAAGGAACATGCATCCTTACAAATCACATTTTGCAAGAACCTGTTTTCCAAATCATATTCGGACAAGAGTATGGTGGCATGATCCTTCAAATATCTGAAAGAACTTAGAATATATTGAACATATCCACGTCGAACTTATCTTTATCCAACGTTTATCCCAAGTCTGAGTTAGATAACTACTAGAATCCAATTGCAACCATCAGAAATAATAACCATACTTTCAACATCAAATAGTATGCCTAGGACTACACATAACAACAAGGTTTCCGGTTTAAGAAATACTGCTCAAAATATGTGATTTAACCTCACATGCATTTGGTTTAGCTAGTATGTATCACCCTATGTTACATTGAATCGGGTATGAGTGTTAAATATTAGTATGTATAATTCTGAAGGGTTTTTCTAGGGTAATATCTCCATTCCTTTATATGAATAACAGAATCGGGTGAGAGTGTCTTACACAGGTAAGGTCAAATTCTTTTCAAGATTTTCATGTATTTGGAAGATTTTTGAAGGATCGATTCCACATGCTCATGCCCAGATATGAATTGGATACGGGTTTGTTGCATCAAAGACTGAAGCCAAAAGGAAAATTGAATGTATAATTTACCCCTTGCAGTTCCTTGGTTCAATGCATTTCCCAGATACAGAATTTTCTTCATGATCTCCTTGAATTTTTGGGAATTTCGAATCTAAATTATGCAAATGCAAAAGTAATTAAGAGAACTGTAAAGAAAAATTAAAAAAAATATACTTAAGCCCATTCAGCAATATTAATCACATACCTCATCACATGCGGAATTTACAATGTTTAAGCTCTTTCTAAATTCTACAATCTGCAAAAACAGAGGTTAAAGAGGCGATTCAATAAATCAATAGGGAAAAGAAAGAAAAGAACAAGCAACAGCCTAAGCACAAAAAATTGTTGTAAACTTATGGAGATTCTGCCAAACCTGAGTGTTGAACTGAATCTTGAAAAGGAACACGTTTAATTTTGCCTCTACTCGTGGCACTTTCATCAGCTCCATAAAGAACTGAACATTGAAAAATCAAAAGCTAGTTAGTTTGGAGCTTTTGCAAACATGGATCAAACAAAAATGTAACACGAAAAATCACCCTAAACAATATTCAAATTCTATCACTAGTCCCTATATTCCAATTTAAATGATTTTAGTTATTGTACTTTTCAGAACTTTATATTTTTTTTATCAACTTCAACATTTGAAATTTCACTCCTAACTCAAAGGATACACAGATGATATGACTAGATTACAAGGAATGATCAAATAACATAAACTAAATCTAGGTACAATAGTAAATCTAGGTACAATAGATGAACTATAGAAAATTTTGACTTAACAAATTTAACCACTGTTTAGGACCAAAATTTCAAAATTTGAAACTTACAGGACAAAAAATGACCAAACTAAAATATCAGCACTAAATCTGTAATTTACACATAGTACAGAGACTAATAACAAAATTTGACAAAAAATAGCATAAGCAAGGTCTGAAACAATGTTTTAACACATTCGGGTTGGTTTGAATTATTTAATAACAAAAATATATAAATATTAATATAAACAAAATAGTATTTTATTATTTTATGAATAGTGAGTTAGGCATGCAAATAAGCTTCAGCCCGAGCCAAAACTTAGTATAGGAAGCACAAAATACATTAAAAAAAAGTATAAAAAGATCTTCAAACACAAAATGACCTCTGTATAAGATAAGTTTGATCAAGTTGACCCCTAAACTTGACAAATTTGATCAAATTGGCCCCTAAGATTTTCTGGGTTAAGTTTGCCCATGAACTTTACAAGTTTAGCCAAATTGACCCCTAGACTTCTTATAGCAACTTGTTAAGTCTACAGACCAATTTGACCCCAGAAAAGTGTAGGGGGGCAAATTGACCCAGCTTGTCAAGTTCAAGGACCATTTTGTGTTTTAAACTTACAAAATAAACTTACTTATTTTGGATATATATTCATATTAAACACTCATATCCAAATAACATATAATATTAAATGATTACAAAAAAAAGACAAATTAATTCGCAAAATTTCTCTAGTAGCATGTCCATGTTAAAGCAATCATCTACGAATCTACTAAAACTAAGAAATTTATTAAGTCTTATGAGTTACAAAATTGGAAGATGTGATTTAGAGAAAATTTTGCAGACCTGTTCACACTTCCCTAGAGCATCCTTGTCACCGGTGTATTTCTAAAAAATAACAAGAACATTGAATCAAACTAAAGAAGATAAACTTGAAAATGCATATATATATAATATGTTATTGTGACTCTTTATTTATTTATTTATTTATTTATTTTAAGGCATACGTGTTTAACGCTATTTATGCCTGACACATATCTAGATGGGTAAAGGGACATGACCCTCCAAATATGTAAAAAATCTTCAAAAAGGAAAATCCTTATTGGACACATAGCCATGCCCGACTCTCACAATCAAGTCCGAGTAATATAATGTGCATGTATATATACATTTATGCTAAGGCTTCACCTTGATCAGTTCCATTTCGTCTTTAGTCGGACAAAATTTTATGAGATTTTCCACTTGATCAGCATCTAATGCTGTATCATCCAATTCTAGCACTGCAGCCTGAAAAAATACATGAAGTTGTATATGGTTATTAAACAAATAAAATGGACAACCTTCAGTTAAACTAAATAGAAATTAAAAGGAAAACAAAGGAAGAGAGAGCTGCCAAGAAAATTAAATATATTTGGTTCGATTCAATTTTAGTTCATAAATTTTAGAAATTGTAATTATTCAATCTGAACCTAATATTTTTTGTTTAACTTTGATTTGTTTGTATCTTTTATAATATAAAAATAATCAATTAGTGGAAAAAAAACTTAAGAAAATACAAGAAGAAGACCATGTCCAGCATACCATCATATCAGGAAGAGGCATCTTAACTTTAGTGAGCATTATTTCAGTGTTATTAGCCCTCTTAATGTCAACCTACAATGGAATAAACAAAATTTGTTAGTAATAGTGATGAATATTAAGGTCTAGGGTTTAGTAATAAAATGAGATTCCATATTACCAAGTGGATTACTTCAGCTTTTGTACTAGCTGGCTTGGCTTGCGCTGCAGATTTATTAGCAGGTTTAGGAACAACTGCAGAGAAAAGAGTCTCAAGCTCCGACATATCAAATTCTGAGGCACTGAGAGAAAGAAGGCAATGTCAGCAAATATATATACACACACATAGGAAAATAACAAATATAAAAGTGTAATGCTAACATGTAATCCCATGGAGTTTTAGAGTAAATAATTAGTCATATATTTATTGATTATGACGGTGTACTATAGAAAAACTAAGATGTACTATAGAAAAACTAACTCATTAAAAGAAGAGAAAATACAGCTGTTGAGGCTCTCCATGTTTTTGCAATTCATCCCATAAGCTTCCTTGTATCGCCCTTGTAACCTTGACCCAGTGTAAAGGCTTTAAATTAGATTTTCGTGGTGCTGCTGCACGTCCACGCCCTCTTCTTCTCATGTCAGCTCCTTTGGCACCTAGTGGAGGTGGGGGAGGTCCAGCGCCACGAGCTCCAGCTGGTGGAGGTGGAGGGCCAGGAGCTCCAGGTGGAGGTGGAGGGCCAGGAGCTCCAGGTGGAGGTGGAGGACCAGGAAATCGACCTCCAGGAGGTGGTGCTCCAGGAGCTCCTCCACCAGGAGGTGGTGGTGGAGGTGGTGCTCCAGATGAGGGAGGTGGTGCTCCAGGTGAGGGAGGCGGTGGAGATGGCACTCCATGCAGTGGAGGAGGAGCATTGGACGTTGGAGGTGGAGGAGGGGGTGTAGGAGCATTGGACGTTGGAGGTGGAGGAGGGGGTGGAGCAGCATCGGACGTTGGAGGTGGAGGAGGGGGTGGAGGAGCATTGGACGTTAGAGGTGGTGCTGGAGGTGGGTTTGGGGGTGGTGTGGATGATGAAGCCCCATGGCCAGTAGAGAGCGGTAGTGACGGCGAAGCTCCATGTGGTGATTCTGTGAGGGTAGGTGGAGGTGGTGGGGGTGGGGGTGATGTTCCACATGATGTAGGTGGAGCTGTTATTTCGTGCAATGGAGGAGAGGGTTTTGGTGGAAGAGGAGGAAGAACCGAAGGTGGAGTAAGGGAAGGTAGAGATGGAGGGCTTGGGGAAGAATGGGAAGCTGATCGCAGTCCATGGACAAATGCTAGAGCCATAGCAATTTGAATTGGTGTGGTGGGAGGGGGAGGACGGAAAGGACGCTCTTTTGATGGGGAGGGAAGAGGATGACTAAAATTGCAAGGTTTTGATGTGGAACGTGGGGGAGGACAAATATTACTAAGTTTTGATGTGCCTTTTGAAGATCCAACATTGGTGAGGGTTGAAAGAGAAGGTGGAATATGTGGTACGGTCTGGGTAGCTGAAGAAGACTCAACCTTCCATGGTGGTGGAGGAAAAACTAGCGCAGTAGTCTGGTTATTCAAGAAATGGGAAGATGTTAAAGCTGTTTGTGAAACCATTCCAACATTTTGTACATTTTCTGCACTATTGGGTTGAGGGGGAGGTGGTGCTACGAGAGCCATTTTAGAAAAAGCATTTCCAATAGCTGCCATGAGAGGATGCGGCGGGGGTAGTATAGATTTTGCATTTTTCTTAACAGACTCTGAAACCAACAAAGACAATTTGGGTAGAGGTGTAGGTGGAGGTCGAGGTGGAGGCGGAGGCGGAGGTGGCGGCGAGGGTGAGGATGATGGTGGAGGTGGAAGAGGTGGCGGCGAGGGTGAGGATGATGGTGGAGGTGGAGGAGGAGGTGGCGGCGAGGGTGAGGATGATGGTGGAGGTGCAGGAGGAGGTGGCGGCGAGGAGGAGGCTGTTGGTGAAGGTGGAGGAGGAGGTGGCAGCAAGGGTGAGGATGATGGTGAAGGTAGTGTTCTTGGTGGTATAGAAACTGGTTGCTGCAAACCTGAAGGTAGTGCAGGCAATGAAGTATGATGATAGCCTTTGCTAGGAGGTATTGGCTGGGATACATCACTTGGCTGAGATTGTTTTCCAAGAAAATCCTGAGATTCTAATTGTTGGCTATTTAGCTTCACCATAACAGAACTTGGAGCTGATTCAGAGCCCGTCCCAGGCATTTTCTCTAAAGTTGGCAATCCATCCTCGAAGTTAGGTTTGAGAACACTAGTTTCCAATATTTTCCCCAACATTTGCCCCAACACCTTTGATTCTGAATTCTTCAAGGAAATGGAGTCTTCTCTATAACCCTCACCTCTCGTCACTTCTGATTTTCCAAGCATATGCGACACATCCTCCCTCAACATATCTTTCTGTGCTGGCTTGTTGTCATGGACCATTGGACTCTCATCATCCACCTTTCCTTCCGTTGCATCGACCATGCTGAAGATCTCTTGAACCTCAAAATATTCCTCCTTTGAAACACTTTCTACCTCACTAAAGTCATTAAGGTCCGTAAAAAGCACCTGATACAAATATGAATATGCATTCAACTCCTACAGTTTTAGAGAAGAAAAACAAACAGAATAATAATTTAAACCTACCTCAACTCTGAAGTCCTTTGGAATTTGATACTTGGCATCCCACAATGTATCAATTTCATTGCTGTTAAGCATCAAAATACTTCCTTGAACAAACGCTGTGTGAAACATGACTCTAAATATCATTTCTTCACGTACCAAGTCTTCATTCAAATGAATGCACTCAAGCACAACGTCCCCTTGAATGTAGCAATGAATATCTAGTTTCACCAGTGCACATTCTTCCTGTACATAAACCTTATTAGAACATCCCAAATTTTTGGTTAATTTATCTTTCTAGTTTCAATTGTTTGACTTAGGCATCACCTTTTGGAAGTGACGAACTTGGGATTTTTTCATTGAATTTGAATAAAGAAGTTTGGAACTTTTATTAGTCCGTTTTTCTGAGCTCTGTCCGTAAACTTGTATAACTGGTCTGCACCCTTTTCCCCCTTCAAAAGTTGGAAGAACTCTAAGGATCAGGCAATCCAAATATAGAGCTGTGTCTGACGAACGCCAATTATAACCCCGGTTTGCTCTAGCAATGTACTGGAGATACCTCAACTGGGAAGGCTGAGGGTTCAAAGGAGACAGAAGCTGAAGAAGGGCCTTAGGAGCTTGCTTGTAGACCATTTCGAGAGTCTTCTGCTCATCACTGTACTGTTTTCGATATAGCAAAAGACTGGCAAGCATGAAAGCAAGAATTGGCCATCCTCCTCTTTCACAGTGCATCAAAAGCACATTTTGTTGTCCTTGACATGCCAACCAGCTTTCACTCGATCGAAGGTAGTAATGAATCATTTCAAGTGTCAACAATGGACATCCCTCGTATTGCCGTGGGTAATCCATAACAGTCATCTCATACTGAGATAAAATGTCTGATATTGGGCTTGGCTTATCGCCTTCTTTGAAATTAACCACCATGAAAGAAGATTCAGGGAAGTTCTGATGTAGCTGTGCCACAATCCTACACAGATACAACTTGTACTCATCTTCATCAAACACATCCGTCGAGAAACAACAGTCAAATACTGCAAAACAAACAGCAGAAAATCAAATCAAATAACCAACACTTGGTAACCATATGCCACTAAACGAAATATGATCATGATGACTATGTTCTTGGATAAATCCCAACTATACATGAAATGGCCAATATGTTACATGAATTTTTATTTTTCTACAACTGTATATATAAAATCAATTTTCACAAACCACAAGCACCGTACCGACGTAACACCATTTTGAGATTCATCCTATACAGTTTCAAAAAAGAATCGATATCGAAATTGTACAAAAAATTTTATTCATTAATAAGAAACAGATGTCATATAGTTTCTGAACTCCAATCGAATTTCTAAGAAAGTTCAAAGGCTAATGTATTCAGCAATTCAAGCTATGAAAATGAACAAGCCAAAAATACTTAGTCCCTTAGTTGTAATAAATAACCGAAGATTAATCAATAAAACCCTAAAAATCCAGAAATTAAGAGGTCATTGTCCACAGAAATTAACATCAAAACCAAAAATCTCCCAAAAAGGATCATACAATTTAAACACTTCTAGAATGGAATCAATTTTAACCTAAATTGAACAATAAATCAAGGAGCAAAAAGGAAAAAGATTACCGTAAACACGTTCAGTAATCTCGAGAAGTCGCTCCTGCGGTTTCCGGTAAAAAATGCGTTTGAACAGCGCCATCTAATGGCGCTGTTTCTCCCTAATCGGGTCTAAAACCCTTTCTCTTAACATCAGCAAGAATCGTATCACATTTGAATTTGATCTTCCGCTTCTGTCAACAAAAAGCACCAAAGATTTTTTCAATTTTATTTTAATTCTCAAATTCTCAAATTCAATTGCAAATTGTGCTCCTTATAACATTTTAACCCCATTCCGATGTAAAAAAAAAAAATGAAAATAAGGGAGGATTGAGTTATGTGAATGAGATATTTTGATTCTAATTCTTTTATTAGGATCAAATAAGGATAAGCCTCTTCCAATTTTTATTTTTGGTCCAACTCATCAGATTTTAGTTTTAATTAAAAATCAGTGCCCTTCATCTTCCAGAATTTCAGTAACAGTCTATTCTCTAAATCTGACGACTCAACAGCTAATATCATCTGATAAACATGTAATACACATGTTACTTGAAAAAAGGTTTCAGTCCCTTTCTAATACGAAAATCGATAGCATCTATAGCCGCCGCCTGCACCGCCACGAATCTCTTTGCATTCACAACCTAGAGAAGTCGTTAACGACGACGACCAGATTCAGCTCCACGACAATTGCCAATTCATTTTTAAAAAATATATATATAGACGAGCATTCGATCTGGTGGAGCGAAAATTTTCAAATTAGTCAACAAAAAATTGATTAAACTGTGTATTAAATAAGAAATTATTTTGTCCAAACATAATTAAATTTATATCTTATTGAATGTTATAATAATAACTGTGTTAATTGATAAAAGATTTTTAAATATAAAATTTGAAAATATTACTTCAATTTGAAAGGCATATTTAGATAAATACTGTCAAAAATAGAAATAACGGTGCACGAAATTTATATAAAAAATAAATTTAAATCTACATTATTTAATAAAATTATAGGGTAAATTACACAAATAATCTCTCGACTATAGTGTACTGCTTTATTGAGTTTCATGACTGTTAAAAATTATAAAATGATTCATTGATTATAGAGGATTGCTCTATAATTAGTCAATTATTTATTATGTTCTAAATTCGTCTTTTTTACTAAAGAATTAATGGTCGTCTGAGTTAGATGTTAGACTTGGATTATCCTTTTCCATTCACACGGTATGCAGTGCATACAGTTGCTGGTTCGATCCGACCAAAACCGAGCCTTTCCTTGTATTAGTTCCTTGAGTTGCAGGGTGCAGACGGTGAACCATGGAAGCGAGACGATGGTCGATGATAGCTAACTTTTTGTTGAAAAACCATCTTGATGAGAAGAATCCTTTGATGCTGCTGCCTCCTCGGTTTCTTCATCCGCAGAAGCAGGTTGGCCGTTGAGATCGATCGTCATATTATTTACATTCCTCGTAAATTTTCCTTTCACGCGAGTTCGCGTTTCGGCTAGCGATTTCCGATTAGCATATCGAAGCAACGCACTTTCCTTTTTCTGCCTGAATTTGATCAATGCTGCCTCTCTTCTATCAACCTGGTAGTACGGAAATGATGCCCCCATCCCAGTACTTGCATGAGGATGGGAATGACATTGTTGAAGATGATTGTAGCGCGGTTCAGGCAAGAAACTAGCACGATTTCGATGGTCGGGGTGGTTGTTCTGAAATGGACCGGATGGTGATGATGGCATCGGTATTTGATTTCCCCAACAATACTTCTCCCATGTGCATCCATTCTCACATACTTGAGCATCATTAATCACATTTTGATCAGAAAACTTAGGATTTCCTTCAATAGTCTTGCTTTTAGCAGCATCTTTATCATTCGGGTCTGTCACTTGAGCACCCTTCATCACTGCAATCGACTTCACATAAGTAAAGAAGGCCGACGAGCCACTCATATTCAGCTTACTCTTCATCGGACCGGATAATTATTGTTCTGCTCGAAAGTCAAAATGTGGTAAGGATTAGTTTAGGAGCAGTCAACCAGCTCTGCAATCACTTGTTATACCTGGATGACAGTCTGATGGAATTGCCGTCTCGGGATTGGTGATCGTCTGGGGCTGGTCATCTGAAAACAGAATTGAGCTGCTTGTATTAGCATCACTCGGGTCTGATACCATTAGTTCAACATGGCAGTTGAAGACATTCATATCTGCCAGACCAAGCTGCCAGGGAAAGCAAATAATTGAACATCAAAACACACAGACAAGTCCAAGGAAAAAAGTAAATCGCTAGAACCAAACCGTGCACCGCCTTCGCCACAGGTGCGTCCACAAGTTCAACAGTTCATTGGTTCGCAATGGCTTGACAAGATAGCCAGCAGCACGAAATCTCAAGCACTTGATAACAACAGAGATCTCAGCCTTGCCGACAACACTTGTCATTGAAATTTATATAACGAAAGACCACATCCATTCATGTATTCGAATCCGAGACTTCAAAAAATAATAACGATTCTTTTACCGATGAGGTGGTTAGGTTGATGCCTTTTAACAATTGAGTGATTAAATTAAAATGAATTATAATTAAATGATTCAAACAGATTGGATTCTAAAAACCTTGTATAGGAATAGGATAGATATGTGGTGGCATGGGAAAGCCGAAAAGGGCAAACTCACGAGATATTACTATGAAAAAAAAAAACAATTCACGTGATAACGCTGTCCAAGAAATAATTGTTCAAATGGTGTGAATTATACAGTGCATGAATTGGTCGCCATGCAAGCCAAACGAGATCATAGGTCGCCATACACTCGGTGTGACCTTGTAGGTCGCCATGCAAGCGGCTCGAACTCCTCCGTGATTCTGCTGAAATCACGACAAAGGTGGCTCTGCCTCCCTCACCCCTGTCTCCCTCATGCATGCAGCAATGAAATCACGACAAAAGTGTTCTATACGAGCTGTGGCGAGAGGATGAAGCTTTGCTACGACCTGTGGTGAGAGGATGAAGCTTTGCATGCGCCATGCACGTCGGAAGAGGTCGTCATGCACGTCGGAAGAGGTCGCCTGCATGCAGTGGGGAGCAGGCGAGCATGCACCAGGGTACAGGACAAGGTCGCCAAGCGTGCATGGCGACCTACCATGTCGCCTGGCGTGTATGGCGACCTACAAGGTCGCCCGGAGGGCATGGCGACCTATGCTGGGAAGCTACCACGGCGTAGGTCGCCCGAAAGGCATGGCGACCTACGGCCAACATTGTGTAATTCGCCCTATTTGAGCAATTAATCTTAAGAGTACGTTATATCATTAAATAAAAATTTCGAGAACATTATCTCGAAAGTTTTGCCGTCGAAAAGAGTGGATATTGTGGCAGTGAAGGAAAAAGGTCACGTGCTAAAATATAAAATAAGTAGTCCAGCAGAAAGAGGAAAGTGCAAAGCAATTAGAGAGGCTAAAGCAAATCACACGTGTTAAAATGAAGGGTAAAATATGTATTTAGTATCTAAACTATCAGTTTGTATTCATTTTAGTATCTAAACTTTCAATTTTTCAAAATCATACCCACCATTTAGTTTTTTTTATCAATTTAGTACCCGCCGTTAAAAAATTAATGCATTCAATATTTAAACTATCAATTTTGGTCTGTTTTAGTACTAAACTTTCAAAAAAAAATTAAAGTTTAACGTTAAATTTTTAGTGAGTACTAAAATGAAACAAAAACTAAACGTTAGATATGCTTTTGGAAAAATTGTAAGTTTAGATACTAAAACAAACTAAAATTAATAGTTTAGGTATTAAATGCATAATATATCTTAAAATAAAAACCCTTTATTTACTTATTTTTGGGTAAATCACAGTCAATGTCCCTTAACTATGAATTTGATAATAAATAAGTTATTTTGTCGTTCAATTTAAAACGAATATCTAATGTGTCATTGTATAATAAGATCTTTGGTCCCTAAAATTTATTCATTTTATTATTTTTATCTTAATTCAAAATAGTCAATAATTTAATGTTTTTTATATTTAAAAATTCTATTAATTTAATTTTGTTGTCAAATTGAACAAGTCCATTGGATAAAAATATTTTAGGGTGTGTTTGTTTGCGGTAATTGGAATTACGGAATTGGTTTTCCGGAATTCTCGTGTTTGTTTCACGTAATTCGTTTTCCGGAAAATGTTTTCTCGTGCTTGTTTCACGTAATTCGTTTTCCGAAAAATGTTTTCCCGTGTTTGTTTCACGTAATTGGTTTTCCGGAATGTAATTCATTTTCCTAGTAACAGAATTTCCTTTGTATTTTCTGTAAAATGACTTACGGATTCATTTTCCGTAAGTCATTTTCCGAACTTTTCACTCCAAAGAATAAATACTCAAAATAATTTTATTTTATGAATTTAATATTAATAAAATATTTTAATATCATTTCCATCAAAATATTATTTATTTATTTATTTATTAATATTTATAATAATATAATATCATATTTTTAATATTATATAAAATAATCAATTATATTATAATAAATAAGATATTTTTTTATTTTAATAATATAATAATTTTTTATATTTAATAATTAATAATATTATTATATATTTAAATAATATTTTAATAAAGATATTTAAAATATACTAATTAATATTTTTAAAATATAATATAACACTATTATTTTAGTAAATAATTAATATAATTTATAATATTTTATTTCACTAAAATATACAAAAATTATTATTTTTATTAAAAAAATTATAAAGATAATATTTAATAATAAATAAATTATTTTAATATTTTAAAATAATAATATTAAGTTTTATGATAAATAATATTATTTATTATATTTAATATTTGTAATAAATAATTTTTAAAAAACTTTTCAACTAGTGGAAAAAAAAGGTTTAAATAACATCTTCCAAACATCATAAAACGTTTTTCATATGTTTTTCAGAAAAATGTAATTCATTTTACGAAAAACATTTTCCGGAAAACATTTTTCAGAAATGTAATTCATTTTCCAGAATTCAAATTTCAGTAATTCATTTTTCGAAAAACCAATTAAAAAAAAAACAGCCCAACAGTTTAATAATTACTTTATATCATAAAACAACAAATTACTCTTAAAATCTTATTTTTACCGGAAAAGCAACAAGAAAGTAATATAATATTTTTTTACGAAAAACAAATAATTTAGGATAAGAACATATACTAAAATAATGGTTTTTTTAAAATATAAATGATTAAATTTAAAATATAAAGGAACTAAATCATTGAAATATATCAACTAAAAGTTTCAAATATATATACAAAGAATACAAAGACTTGAAACATATTGTAACTTGAAAACAATCATATTAATCATAATAAGCATGAATACATAGGGATGGGCATGGGTCAGGTCAGGTCGAATCGAATATCGGATGAAGGATTTATTGTTCTCGAGTCGGGTTGGGTGAACCAAAAACTCGACCCATGCCCATCCCTATGTATTCATGTTGCTTTTATAAATATAACATCTAATCTATTCTTACCGAAGCAATAGGTTAGGCAAGAAATCAAAGATCACATGCTCACATAACAATTGATGTATTCATGCTGGCTAGTGGCCCTAAACTTTACCAATCTCTTTGTTAAAGTTCAAGTTAATTTGGGTTCGAATTAATAAAATAACATAGATTTATATTATCGAGTAGTCAAGTAAAGGATAAATTACGCATCTAGTATCTAAATTTTCAATTTCGGTCTATTTTAGTACCTAAACTTTTAATTTTTTTCAAAACCACACCTAAGTTTTGTTTTTGTTTCATTTTAGTACCCAGTTCAAAATTTAACGTCAAGTTTTGAAAATTTTGAATGTTTAGGTACTAAAATTAACCAAAACCGATAGTCTAGGTACTAAATGCGTTAAATTTTTAATGATATGGTATTAAAATGAAACAAAAATTGAACTTCTGGTTTTAATTTTTTTTGAAAGTTTAGGTACTAAAACGAGTCAAAACTGATATCACTTAAGCAAGGTCTCAGGTTCGAGTCATTGTGTATGCAGAAAATCCCCACTGGGTGACTCACCCACCAAAGCCAAGTGTGCGACTTGGGTCGATCCATATTAGTTAAGACGAAGCCCTGAAACACGAGCGAAACAAAAAAAAATCCTGTGATGACTTAAATTAGGAAAAAATTATATATAATCAAATAAAAAACCTTAAATTTTAAATAGATCTATTACTAATTTATCTATGCATGTTGTGCTTGGAATTTTTATCTATAGTATAAATGTGAATACAAAATTTATATGTATCGAAATGTAAATATAAATACCATATTGGGTTCATTGTGTTAATCAGGTTTATTTTCTAATTTTGATTATTTAAATTTCCATTTCCATAACATTGTCAAATCTAACACTCATTCTTAGTGAGGCTAGGTATGAAATTAATTCACACGTGTTCATATAAAAAATCAAGATGTATTATATTGTGCCATGGCTCGATTTTTTTAAAAAAATATTATTAAAGCAATAATCATGTTTAATTAAGTCTATTCGAATTAATATAAATAATGTATGTTTTGATTGGTCGGATAATTCAATTTTTGAAGATGTTATCATGTTAATCGATACTACATTTAACGAAGTCCTTTAGGTTTGGCTAGCAAATACAAAATATATATTGTGTTGATTGTATTTATTTTATAATTGTAGCTAATTATAGGCTTAAGTATAAAATAAGTGTCCAAACTATACCTATTTTCACGAATAGGTGCCTACGGTATTTTTCGGTCCATCCAGGTGCCTAAAGTTATAAACATTATCCATTTAGGTGTTCGGACCGTCAACGACATTAATTTTCCCGTTAAGTGACACATGTCACAATTTAATGATTTTAAAGTTTTTTTGTATAAAATTTTAAAAATAAAATTATATATTTTTTTAAAAATAAAACACAGAAATTTTGAAATAAACCCAAAACTTTAAAAATCTTCATT